CAGATCAGCTGTGTTGTTATTCTTGTACGTACCCTTAATACAGCCCCTCTACTATCTAAGTATCTGTCTATTTTGCTTCTCTTTCAAATGGTGGAAAAACAGCTTCCAAATCAAATAATAATAATAATTTGGTCACTTGGTCCACTACTGTTTGGCTGCAGCGTGTTGCCAACAAAATACAGAGTCAATTCATTTTACAGTATATTCTTTTAGGCGCTTTGTGACATCTCAACAACACGATAAGGATTATTATCATACATATAGGACCTGATTGAACTACAGAATTGCCCAGAATTATCTCAAATTCCGTTAAATAATATTTGTAAGACTTCTATTAATTTTGATTTCTTTTTAAGTGAGTAATCTGCGGTAATGTGATGTGAAACCGACTAAAGGCGCTATCTGAACCCACTATTGTCTCTAATCTTATAGATAAACTCGATAATCCTATAAGTGTTTCAAAACCAGCTAATAAAGGAACATAACCTAATTAATAGTCTTTTAAAGGCATTCACTTGTTTAACATCTATAATAATGAGACACTATGCTTAACATAACTGCAGTCAAAAGTGGAGGGTTAAATCTCTTGTCCTGTGATGTCTTTAGCCCTCTAACAGGATTAGCATTGCAATTTGCTATTTTAGTCTAATTAGATAAATGGACTAAGGATTTAGTCTGGATCTGGCTCTCTGATGGTTGAGGCATAAGAAAATCAACTTGCTGCATTTTCTGTTTGTTAAAGCTGCTGCTATAGCAACAGATGACTAAGAATATTTAATCCACTCTGAATGCAGCTATGTTGCTTCGTATGCATGTGGCACAGATTAACCATGTTCAGTGTGTTCTGTTTCCCCCCACCTTCCCTCCCTGAGATAAATGAGATTCTATTTATAATAATAATAATCCTTCCATTTGATACAGTGCCTTATCACATCTTTGAGACGTCCAAATCGCTTCACAGATTATACTGTCAAGTGAATTTCAGCGCCTTAAGAAGTCCTCCCGACGTGAAAGGTGCTGTACAAATGTAATCTTGTTGTTGTTGTTATTATATATTTTGTGGGTGAAATGCAGCAGCCAATTGTGCACAGCAGTGTCCCACAAATAGTTGTGGATTGAGTGATCAAATTATTACGATTTTCTTTATTTTACCCCAGAAAGCAATCCGCCAAACAGCTGGATTCCTACTTTCTGCGAAGTAATCACCTGGTGATCACCCGGGGCCTAACCGTCTCTGATGTCACCACGGACAAAGACACTTCAATCATTATTTCATCCCCCGTAACTCTTTCATCCCCCGTAACTCCTCCATCCCCCTCCCTGATGCCCACCCCACATGCATTGCCTATCGCCCCTGGAAAAATAACCCCACCATAACCCCACGACCGCCCCATTTCAAAGCTTCCTTTTCTATCAAAGCTCATGGAACGAGTCGTCACTTCCCAGCTTCGTTTTGTTCTCTCCCAGCTTTCCCTCCATGAACCCCTCCAATCTGGGTTTTGTGCAGCTCGGAGCACAGAGACAGCCCTGGTCAAAGTGACAAATGATATTCTGTCCACCTGTGACCAGGGTTCTTTCTGTCTCCTCGTCCTTATCGACCTCTCGGATGCTTTCGATACTGCTTCTCCACTCCCTCCACCTCAACGGTTCTGTTCTTGCCTGGTTCCAATCCTACCTTTCCCACCGTCTGTACTTCGTAGCCACCAATGGCTTCTCCTTTAGCCCCCACATAGTTATGTGTGGCATCCCTCGGGGCTCTGTCCTCGGTTACCCTCCTTCTTCAATCTATGCATACTCCCGCTCGGCAATGTCACCCGTAGGCATGGGATCAATTTCCACATGTATGTGGATGACACCCAACTCTATCTCGCCACCTCCACCCTCGACTCCAGGGCCGTTGATGTCCTGACTAATTGTCTGTCGATCATCAAGTCCTGGACAAGAGCCAATTTCCTCCAGCTTAATGTTGGCAAGACAGAGGCCCTCTCGCTTGTTCCCAGCAGCACCTCTTCAACTGAGCCGCAGACACTATCACCAGTCATGGCTGCACTCTTCACCTCATCGAGCCAATCTGAAACCTCAGTGTCCTTTTCGACCCTCAGCTACTCTTCAAACCCCACAATCGTGCTCTGACCCGTTCCGCATTTCCACACCTCTGCAACATTGCCCGCCTCCACCACTGCCTCTCACCACAGGCTGCCGAGACCCTGATCCATGCTTTTATTACATCCCGGCTTGACTACGCTAACTGCCTACTCACTGGACTTCCCAACTCTACCCTCCACAAGCTGTAGATTATTCAGAACTCTGCAGCTCGTGTCCTCTCCCGCACCAGGCTCCGGGAACCTATCATCCCCATTCTTGCCCAGCTTCACTGGCTCCACATTCCTCAGAGAATCAAGTACAAAACTCTTGTTCTTACCCTTATGGCCCACCACGGTCGTGCTCCCCACTACCTCTCCAAACTCTTAACCCAATTGTAGCCTGTCCGCTCCCTCCGCTCGGTGGACACCGACCTCCTTCAGGTCCCCGCACTTCCCGCCCCAGAATTGACGGTCAAACATTCAGCATCTCTGCCCCCACACTCTGGAACTCTATCCTGTAATCCCTCCGAATCAACAATACAACAGACAGAGGTGAATAGCATAGACACATGTTCGTATCAAAGTCAGTTGGTAAATTCACAAACAGCAGCCAAAAGTCTTGCATCAGACGAAAAGTGTCTTGCTTCAGACCAGGAACCTCTTACTTGAGGTTTGAAGTCAAAGTTGAATCTTCAATGGTGTACAGCTGAGATGTTATACGTTGTTATTCTTTTCCCATTACTTTTCAAACAATTTCAGACATTTCTGCAGTTTTCCTTCTTCCTTGAATTGCTGGAGTCAACGAAAGTTGATGGAACAGTCCAAGTCTGATGGATTTTAACCCCGAAGACAACACATTCACATGAAAGATGGCTCTTGTGTGGACAGCTCCTGATATGTTATGTCTTAGGCTGAACAAAGTATAGTTCAACCATACACCGTTTATGATCGATTTTCCACAGGCAGGATGAGAATGTAAAATCTTTCCATTCTCATGTCCACAAAGCAATTATCTCACATAAAATAATAATAATATGATCCGCAGAATTGTTACTTCACCTGCAGAATTGTTATTGTTATAGAAGAACGTGAATTGTTATAGAAAATATTTTTAACACAAACATTATTTGTTATGTGAAAATCTCTTCAACTCGTTCATCATTAACATAACACTTAGTTAAAACATGAATTTGTTATGGGAAACATTTTCAACAACCTTCAACTGCAATAAACAAGGCACCCTGGCATTTTTCTAGCCAACATAAGCATTTTTAACCATTGATTAAAAGAATTATTTTGACTACGTGGGTTAACATATATTCACATTTTCAGTTATGAAGCGGGATCACAGCAGTATGCAACTGGTACCTTCTCTGGTATTTCCCAAACCTCACCAGGGAAACACTCCCAATAATTTGATAACTCTGATCTAGAGAAATGTAATAATTGTTACGTTTGGTATAGCACCTTATATGTTGGAAGGACGTCTCAAAGCACGTCATAGGAATTACTGTGAAATGGAGTGACTGTGTAGTTGTGAGGAAATGCGGCAGTATAATTGTGTAGAGCAATGTCCCACAAACGGAAATGAAACAAGTGAGCAATTTTATTTGGAGGATTATTTACCATGACACGGGAGAGAGAAACTCCCTTCTCTTTTCGAATAGTGCCATTGATCTTTAACATCCACCTGAACAGGTAGACAGGATGTCAGTTTAATGTCTCATCGGTAGAATGTTACCTGCAACAATGCAATCCAGTGAGTGTCGGCTTAGTCTATGTGATTCCAAGTCCTGTCGTGGAAAAATGAACATCAACATTCAACAAATTCAACAATCAACATCAACAAATGAGTAAATCAACATAGCTTTATGGTGGGATGAATCTGCCTGACAAATCAATTGGAGTTCATCAGGTTTTTTTTGATTTTTTTGCGTCATCCAGGTGTCCGACACACACGGAGACCAATTGCCATACTTAAGAGTATACAAATCAAACTGAGAGTTCCATGCATCCCACCCATACATAGAAATTCCATAGATATTTGTTGGGATGGAATGCGCACTCTCTCCCTAGAGAGAGGGAGGACGTCCCAAAGCGCTTCACAGAACACACTGTAAAGTGAATTGACTGTATATTTGTGGGCGAACGCGGCAGCCAATTGCGCACAGCAATGTCCCACAAACAGTCGTAGATTGAAAATGACCAATTTATTATTGTTTTTGGTTTTTGGAGGGATTATTATTAGGCTCTGTGTGGAGTAAGGAAACTTGCCCAAGGTTTCGCCCTCTGCCTGGAATTGAACTCAGGTCTCTCACTTGTAAAGCGAGTGCTCTAACCACTGAGCTACAGGACTCCACAAATGCACGTATTATTATTATTATTATTATTATTATTATTATTATATCCTGCGAAACGCTTTGAGATGTTTCAACGACAGTAGGTACGAACCCAGTTGTTAAGTTGATTGGCGGATCGGCTTTTGAGGGTTAACAATTCCTCAAAAAAATATATAATAACGGTCACTCAATCCACTATTGTTCGCCGGCGCCGCGTTTCGCCCACAAAATATACAGTCAATGCACTTCACGGTATATTCTGAGAAGCGCTTTGAGACGTCTCGAAGACGCGATGAGGTTCGACACCAAATGAGAGGACATTGATGATGACTATTATTATTAACAGTGAGTGAGTGAGTGAGTGCCACCGATTCAGTCACGTGAGCGGCTCAGTTCCCTCCTCCCCCCCCCACCCCGCGCTGATTGGTCCTGTCCATGCGCGCTTCCCAGCCTGTGATTGGACAGCGCGGGCTGTGACGCTGCACGTATCACGCGCGTCCCGCCCCGCTTCTCGGGCCGACCAATCAGAGAGCGCCGCGATGGCTGCGCGCGGGCTTGGCGGCAGTTTCCCAGGGTGCCCCGCGGCCCGGCAGCTGAGAGCTGCAAAGATGGCGGCGGCGGTGAGGACGCGGCGGCTCCTGGTCAGACAGGCGGCGGCGGCGGCGGGAGGCGGCGCCTGGGCCCTCGGCCTCTTCCTCCTGCTCTCCCCCCGGCTGTGCCAGGCCGACGAGACGCCCGCCAGGAGGTTCGAGTACAAGTACAGCTTCAAGGGGCCGCACCTGGTGCGGAGCGACGGCTCCATCGCCTTCTGGACTCACTCGGGCAGTAAGTGGCGGCTCGACTCCCGCGGCGGGAAGGCGGGGAGTGAGGGGAGGGGGTCACCTGAGAGCCCCTGAAACACCAGGAGACACCTTGAGACACCGGATGGGGGGGATCACTGGGGACCAAACACCAGACTTATTCTGCTGCTTCAGTGGCAGCTTCACACTGTTTCCCTCTCCCCCCCCACCCTCTCCCCCTCCAAAAAAAACACTTCCCAAAGCCGCTTCCCAAAGGTCTTTTATTTGAACTGATAATAATAATAATAATCCTTGCATTTGATATCGCGCTTTTCACGTCGGGAGGACGTCCCGAAGCGCTTCACAGAACACACTGTAAAGTGAATTGACTGTATATTTGTGGGCGAACGCGGCAGCCAATTGCGCACAGCAATGTCCCACAAGCAGTGGTGGATTGAAAATGACCAATTTATTATTGTTTTTGGTTTTGGAGGGATTATTATTAGGCTCTGTGTGGAGTAAGGAAACTTGCCCAAGGTTTCGCCCTCTGCCTGGGATTGAACTCAGGTCTCTCGCTTGCAAAGCGAGTGCTCTAACCACTAATCTACAGTACTCATCGGGGTTAGGAAGTCCCCTTCAGTCGTTCAGCTGGTCCTGGGTGACGTCTGGAGGACTCCAGGACTAAAGCACTCCAGTATTTACACAGCTCAGCGACTAACTGTTTTAGGTATTTGCTGAGCTGTCACTTCAACTAACCGAGACGTTCAGGGCGTTTTGGCCACACGTAGTTGTTTGCTGGTGGTTTAGCCACATAATCGCCGCTTGCTTGCCTTGTGCCACATACTCTTTAGCTTTATTTTTAAACTTTTGTCCTGTGGGGTTTAAAACCTGTGTTTGGGAACGTGTCTTTCTCTTTGCCTGGCTCATCAAAGGCAAACATCTGGTCGACAGCTTGCTGGAGAATTGTGCAACTGCTTCACAGTTTTCTTTTTAATTGTAATCTGCAGGTAGAGCTCGAGTTTTTTTTAAAATGGATCTGGAAATCCGAAACAAAAGTAGAAAATTGAGTGGGTCAGTTTGGTTGACTCCTCAGATGTAGATGAAGGGGTTGGATCTAAAAACTCGAGCATCTCAGATGCTGATCATCATTTCCATCACATTTTCTGCTAATTTTAATCTTTTAATTACTTGCTTTTTTGTTCAACATTCAGACATGTATATTGTACCTGTCATTATCTGTTACATGGTTTGTAGAAGTTAAAACACAATGTATTGCAGTTTTAACAGTCGTGTTGTGCAAGTTTGGAACTGTAAACAACAGATTCTAGGATGTGGTTATGGGACTAAACATTGGGAGTACAGCGGACAGTTATAAAATACTTGAACTTTGCATTTTATGTCACATGGACCTAACAATTCAGTTACTCCCTTGCAATTTGTTTGTGTAACAACTTGTATTTTATATATTCAGTGTTTCTAATGTTTAAGGTTTGCTTATTGAAATCTAGAATAGTATCTATTGTAATTACATTAACAGATTGTTATTACAGAACGTGACACACTGTACACAGAATTGTAAGACGCACTGCACCCAGAGTTATAAAGCTGTCATGTAATGTAAACATTCTTAACATTTGATATAGCCATTTTCATCAGGAGGACTAAGTGCTTCACGGGATGCATTCAATTATGCAGGTGACCACAGCACTTCATGTTTGCGTAACAATGTCCTACAGTCAAAATCTAGCTCAGTTACAGTTATTGAATATGTTACTGAATGCAACCCACTGGAAGGCATTTGAGTCATGGACCTTAGGTTGTACTTGGATATACTTCTTTGCAATTCAAAATTCTGAAATACCCTATACAAATTCATTCTGTGTGTCTTCCCAAGTTTGTTTAATTTACAGTATCCAAATAGCATAGGGCCAGGATTATGCCCTTCTGCCTGGTGAGACTTCTCTGCCATTTTGTTGCTTTGAGGTAACTTTTTTTTATTCCACTGCCTTGGTTTTTAAAAAAAACATTCTTTGACTTGGGAAGTTGTCTATCCATTTTGGGCCTACATCCGAAACTAGAATCCTAGAAGTTTACAGAGGAGGAGGTGACCATTCGGTCCATCGATCTGCACTGTCGATTCTAAAACTACCACATTTGAAACCGTTGTGCTGCAGTTGGTGTATTTTTTGTTCTTACATTTTCTCCCTACAGTGAAGCTGAAGGTGATGGTTCTTGTTTACCTGCCTAGTGGCACGGAAACTTGTCTACAGTGCAATGAAATTCTCTAGGGGTATCTTTGGGAAAAAAAGGTGCGCATAATATTTTTTAAGAATCCTTTGTTTGAAATGGGGAAAGTCTTAATTTTGGAATATGTTGCTTTAGAATAGCTCCATGCCAAGGAAGAAGAGTCCATACCAATCTGAACATAGAGAGTAAACATAGTTTTGCTGGGAAGATTCAAAATAACCAACATTTTTATTAATGCCAACATCTTAAAGTAGGAATTGAGGGGAAAGGAAACCACTAGGTAGGCACCTGCTGGCTGTGTCAATTGTTAATGTTTACTTTAGAAAAAAAAGTCAGGTTTTCATTGACCTGTTCATCACTGCCACTATGTATGTCTTGGGCAGAAATAATCGAGCGCACAGTGCCTTGGTGTATCAGCCTGATGTGAATGGCACTTTAGAAATGTAATTTTTTATCGTAGCATAGAAAGGGCTGGAATACCTTGGCATAAGTGATGACAGACCAGCGAGACTCCAGGGCATTACTGATGACAGACCATTGGGTGCATGGATTCTTCCTGAGCTGCTCCTGTTAACCCTGCCCTAGACGGCGTTTCTAGCTGGAGAGGCAGTGGAAAGCTTCTCAGATAGTGTGTTTGTGGAGAAAGCTTCCTTACTTCACACGCGCACCTCTGTTTACCTAGCAGTAAGTAGGAAGCCGCTTGTTAGTCAATTGGCAGATCACTTTCCGGGGATAATAATCCCTCCAAAAAAATAATAATTTGGTCACTCAACCGACAACTGTTTGTAGGACACTGCTGTGAGCAATTGGCTGCAGCTTTTCTCCCACAAAATATACGTTACTACACTTTACAGTATATTCTGTAAAGCGCTTTGAGATGTCTCGAAGACTTGACAAGGCGCTCTTTCAAATGCAAGGATTAATATTATAGTGCTCTCAATGGCAAGCTCTGCATATATGGAACTATCTGGTATGGATACTCCTACGTACAGTGATAGTTTTTTNGCATGTGTCTGAGATGAATCAATCAAGGTACAAGACAAGATCATTGAGTTCCTGGTGACCTCACAAGCCCTGTAAAGAGCTTCCCATTTCCCCATCCTTTCTTAATGCCTCTTCATAGATTTCTTTTTACAAATATCTGTCCTACCCACTCCCTGCTTGGCTACACTGTGCCAACCTCCCGTTTGTATATAAATGACTATTTATAAATAGCTGATAGGAAGTGTCTATAAACGGCCTACGTCTAGAATTTCTTATCTCAATTTGTACAGTTCATTTGTTCCAAATTTGCATTGTTTTGCTACTGTAATTGAAGATTTCTTAAATTCCAGTGTTCTGTTTTAGGTCGTGTGCAAGCATGTCATTTTCGTAACCCGACATATGAGGTGTGCATCTATACATGTTGATTCGCAATTCAGCCACCCTACACCTGGTAGAATTTGCTGCGTGTATGTATTGTGCACGCAAATTGGAAACCGATGGGCCTGAAGCGATGTTATAACTGAGCAGCATGTTTCAATTTAACCCATCTTTAGATGAGACATTAAACCGAGGTCTTGCCTGCGTGTTTAGGTGGATATTAACAATCCCATAGAACTATTCTAAAAGAGAAGGGCACCTCTCTCAATGTCCTGGCCAACAGTCCCACAAATGGTCATTCACTTGGTGGCTATACACAAATTGGCTGCCGCATTCACCCACAAACCACATAGACACTGCACTTTACAGTATATCTCGTGAAGCGTTTTGGGACAGTCTCTCAACATAAAAGACGCTGTACCCAATGTAAGTATTATTTTATTTAATTCTTTCCAAGTAGTAACTTTTTTGTAGGCAAACACTTACTGGAATGTCAGTGACAACAACAACAAATTACATTTATATAGCGCCTTCCTCGTCAGGAGGACCCAGTATAGTTGTTCCAGAGGTGAGAGTTCCACCAACTGAGCCATGCTAATGGCGTGGTCATATGGATCTTTGTGACACTATACTTAAATAGGTATGTGCTGATAGATCCCAGTTCCCTGGATATTTCAAAATGACAAACTTGGCAATGCTGTATTTGGTAGAATTTAGTTCAGTAAACTATCTGTAAAGTAACCAAAATATTTTAATGATTGCTGTAATAAAGTGCTATTTTTTTTAAATCAGAAAAAGTTGGAAACTACAGAAATTAACCGATCACCCAGCCGACTGACATTTAAAATTCTGCAAGTATATCTGTATGAATGGTGTTCATTTCGAGATGGTCTGCCAATAAATTATCTATTTAGTATGAGATAAGAAGGCAGAGCCTGTTATTAACCTACTCCCATCTATGGTCATCGCCATCTTCTAATGTTTAGCGTTTCAGTGGCTGCAAACAGAACTATGAAGTCTGCAGTGAAATGATAGTAATACAGACCATAATATGGTTTAATGTCCCTTTATTTCATGAGCAAATAAAAGTAGGTCTCAGGAGCTCCCTTTTTGACCGCGCTCTTGGTCATCTTCACGCCCCCCCTCCCCCAACTGGGGGGGTTCTTTCAATGTGAAAGATACTGTATAATTGTGGAGTCCTGTAGCTCAGAGGTTAGAGCACTCACCTCGCAGGCAAGTCTTGCTCTGCCTTGTGAGTTAGATAGATGTTAAATGTCCTCCCCTCAACTGCTTTTAACTCTCCATTTATTTCATGTTCCAAATTCACTGCAAACTGTAGATTATTTGGCTTCTCATCTCTATTTGTAGGATATTGCTGCCATATTAGCTGCTGTGGTGGTGGGATGAATGGAAATCTCAGCTTGGTTTGGATACTCTTAAGCATGGGAATGGGTTTCTGCATGTGTCAGACACTGGGCTGACCCAAAAAAAGTGTAATCTTCACTTAATGAATTATTATTACGGTTCTGTGAAGCGTTTTGGAACTTTTTTTTTTGAATGAAAGGTGATAGATACTGTGGAGTGGAGTCCTGTAGCTCAGTGGTTAGAGCACTCGCTTTGCATGCGAGAGACCCGAGTTCAATTCCAGGCAGAGGGCGAAACCTTGGGCAAGTTTCCTTACTCCACACGCCTCATAATAATCCCTCCAAAACAAAAAACAATAATAAAATTGGTCATTTTCAATTTACAACTGTTTGTGGGACACTGCTGTGCGCAATTGGCTGCCGCGTTCGCACACAAATATACAGTCAATTCACTTTACAGTATATTCTGTGAAGCGCTTTGGGACGTCGAGAAGACGTGACAAGCGCTATATCAAATGCAAGGATTATTATTATACAGTATATTTTAAATGTATACTATGGTACTATTTATGAATAATTCATTGCTTGTAAGTTTGAGGTAGCTTTTGTTTTGATAGTCAGCCCTCTGTGCTTGTCCACACAGTGATTTGAAGATATCAGCCAAACATTATCTGGTGACATGTGCCTGTGCCTTCACAGGAGCAATGGACAGCCTATCAAAGTGTTTTTTTCCCAGTTAAACTTTAACAGAATAACTGGGCTTCATACGAAAGATTATGGGACACAACTGGTCACAACAGTGTGTTTTCGTCTTGACGAAGAAGTAGTTAAATACTTTTTCAAATAATCTAACTTTTAGAATATTTGACTACATCTGCGTTTTTTTAAATTTGTTAAATGTTTGTAAAAATAAACGTGTCAGCCTTGCTCCATCGGTAGGGCTCACAGTCACCTCTGTGCCACAGGTTGATGGTTCAAGCCCCACGTCAGGCTTTCAACTTGGGCACCTTAGGTGAACCTGCACCGCAGCCCTGAGAGAGCATTGTATTGTTCCAGCTGTCATCCTTTGGATGAGACATTAAACTGAACCCTGTTCCTCTTCAGGTCAAAGTTAATGGATTGCATCACACTATTCAAAGAGAAGGGAGTTTCTCCTGGTATCCTGGCCAACAATCCCAGGGTAAAATTGGTCATTCACTTCATAGCTGTTCGTGTGACATTGCTGTACTCAAATTGGTTGCCATATTTGTGTGCAAGTCTACTTTGATAAGGCACGAAAGCATATGTAAGAATTGTTATGGGGAAAGGCAAATGAGTGATAGCTCTTTTACAAAGCCTAGCTCAATTACAAGCCAGCGTAGGCATAATAATTCGAATTGCCTGATGTGCTATAAAAGTCTTTAATAATATCTGCTTAATTCTGGTTACTAGAAGATATGGAGGGAGGGAAGGGAAATAATCTTGAAATGTTTATCTTGAAATCTTTTATGTAGTCAAGTTTGCAAGTTGGAACATTCAACATGTGAGATCAGGGATCCTGCCAGCTGCCTCAGTTCCGATGCTAATTAACATTTAAAACAGCCAAACAAAACCTACATGAACAGACTACCTTTGCCACGTCACGCATTGAAAGCTGCTGACCTAGCTTAACCCAACATTTTGTTGACTTTATGTTTTAAAGTAGAAGAATGATGGTATTAAGCATTAAAAGCATTGTGCTGTTATCAATGAGTTAGTTGCATTTAACTTCCAAAGAAAAGTTCATGGAAAGGAAGCCTATTGTGATGCCCTCGATTATAAGGTGACTATATAATGGACACTAATATTTTACCACATGAAAACATTAAAATCCTATTTCAAGAGTATCATGAATAGCTTAGATCATGAATCGTGAGACAAGTATGAATTGGTTAGGTTGTGCATCACTAGAGGAGCCACCCAGCTTCCTGCCTGCATGTGTAGAATACCCCAGGCATCTTGCCATGAAACTTGGAAGCATTGTCCTGGCCAATGGTGGTTGGTTATCTCACTTGTTTATAACACGGGTTGAAATTTTCTGTATCCCAACATCTGGGTTATACATCTGGGTTTCCCTGTATTGCGGACTCTGCTCCTGGAAAGGATTTGAAGTTGCAGCTTCCAACAGTGGAGCAATTACATGTGGAAACGTGCCTTTATATTTCACTTTAAAATCCCACCACTTGAGGCTGAAGAAAGTGCAGGTTTCTTTTTAATGTTTATTAACCAGGAGTGTTGTTGGTTGTTTAAACAATAAAAACACTCTTATTTGAACACCCAAGACCATTTACACAAGGGGCTGTTTGAATGAAGATCCATCCTTCGCATGCAACAACAACAATAACTTGCACTTATATAGTGCCCTCGGGGCAGGGTAGCATTTCAGAGCAATTAAACCGAGACAAAACCGAGGTCCTGTTCAGGTGGACGTTAAAGATCCCAAGGCTCTGTTCGAAAAGAGAAGGGAGTTTCTCCTTCCACTGTCCTGGCCAATTATTCCCCAAATAATATTGGTGGTTTGTTTCATGGCTGCTTTTGGGACATTGCTGTGTGCAAATTGGCTGCTCCGTTCACCTACGAATAGTTATTACACTTTGCAGTGTATGAAGCGATTTGGGAAATGATGTAAGGATTATTATTAAATGCATGTTTTAGTGCTGATGAATTCCTTGAAGGCAGGATGGACATGGATGGTCAAATTCTTGTACTAGGAATCGGAAGACATCTATGGGTTGTAAGGTTGGATTAATATCCTAGATTTTTGCTTATTGGCCTGTGGGATTCATATAAACTTGGACTTTATCTTGAAGAGATCTTACCTACAGCTGGTTACCTTAGCCCTGCTTGATGGTACTAACTGCATATGTTCTGTGAAGTAAATAGGTTTGATCTATTACGCTGCCTTCTCTTCTTACCTAGCTTTGTGTGCATTGAGATGTTTCCTGTGCTTTCAGATGCCATCCCCAGTGCAGATCAGGTCCGTATAACACCGTCTCTGAGAAGCCAGAAAGGGTCCGTTTGGACTAAATCCAAAGTGAACTTTGAACACTGGGAAACTCAGGTTACGTTTCGTGTAACGGGAAGAGGAAGAGTTGGAGCTGATGGACTGGTACATATTGTATCTATATTTTTTTAAAATTTATAATTTTTGGACATTGCAATGGCATGTGCAGATGGTGTTTTTCCTCTCTTCCCCCGTAGGCAATCTGGTACACATCGGAACAAGGATTGGATGGTCCAGTTTTCGGAGCGTCTGAGCCATGGAATGGTGTGGGCATCTTTTTTGACTCCTTTGACAATGATGGAAAGGTACTAAGAATTTGAGGGGATTTAATCATGGGAATGGAGTGCTGAGGCAGTTACTTTGACTTGTGTTTCAATGAAATGTCTGTGGAAACTGTACGTTCTGTACATTTAAAGTAGTTGTTCTGGCTCAGTTGATACCATTTGCACCATTGGGTCAGAAGGTTATAGGTTTAAGCCCATGTCAAACATTGATCTCATAGTCTAGGCTGACACTCCACAATATTCCTATGGGGGGGTCACTGCTCTGTCCAAGGCGTTGTCCTCCAGATGAGACGCTAAACTGGGTCCCAGTTTTGCCTGAAAACACAGTTAATTCACTTTACAGTATATTCTGTGAAATGCTTTGAGACGTCTTGACGATGTGATGAGTCGTGATACCAAATGCAAGGATTATTAAAGCAACAACTTTGAATTATATAGCGCCCTCCACGCCGGACAGCGTCTCAGAGCGCTTTACAGTAACGGATCCCGGGACCGGGATTATTATAATATTATTATGTATTATTATAAATCTTCACCGTATTAATCCAATACCAAAAACTAGGCAAATGGAAACCCCAAATTATTAGCTCGCATTTGGTTTAAAGCAACGATGAGTCTGGCCATCTATTAAGATCTTGCAGCTTCTGGAATTGGAAAACATTGGACAAACTCTCTTCCTACAATAAAGTTCCCAAACAATATATCCAAGATCGCCCCCCATAAAGATTTGATTACAGATTTTGATACAAATCAGTCAGAGATTGCTTTAAGAATAGCATTACGTGAACCAAAAGGTTTACTCTGAAGTTACATGAATCCTGGAAAGAGGTTTTAAAGATGTATTTGAAACCTATTTTAAGTTTAGCCTAAATAACAATCCTTGTTAACTTTTTAACTAGTGTTTGTGCAAAACAGATGGCTTTTCTTCAATAAAGGGCAGAGAAATATCAGGTTCCAATGCCATTTCTGTTGGGTACACAATGCTCCACTGCCTGGCGCACAGTAATTATTTATTGCTATCAGTTCATCTACTCAATTCAAGCCAATTGCGAGGCAAAATATGTGCAGTTTGCTGAGAGCCACGACTGCTTTAGTCGCTGGAGAGATCATTGGGTGTTTTTTGTTGCCAGATGTACTGGTTGTTACTGGCTGAGTTTAAATGGAAATTGAGGAATACTGGTTTTATACCGTTTTCTGGATTGATTTCAAATTAATGTGAGATTCCCATCTGTTGGCCTAGTGACAATGTGGACTTGCTCTGTCTCTTTAATCTATATTGCTTGTAGAGACATCAGCAAATCTCATGCTGGTAATGACATATTGAATTGTAATGTTCAAAGTCTCTGTTAATATGACCACTAAGCAAAGTGTTTGCTTAGTTCAATAGTTGAAATAAACCGAGTCACTTTATAACTATGGTATTCAATTCAGGCCAAATGGGTTTGGACTGATTGTTGTAAGTCTCTCTCTCTATCTCTCTCTCTCTCTCTCTCTCTTTCCCGCCTCCTCTATCTCTGATAGATGTAAGCACAATAAATTCACAATAATTCCAGCGATTGCAAATTCCCAAGGAATTTTGCAATAATTGGGGCATATTTGGCAGCACTCAGAAAACAGTAAAATGACGATTATTGTAAATGAGAAAATTCCCATAGTATAATAGAGGTGCTCCTTATCTTGGAGTCAGGGCAGAGTAATATGTTCTTTGTTCTGAGAGTGCTTGAAGTTAATTATAAAGGCCAAAATAGAATATTGTTCTATCCCTCCTCTCCTTGGAAGAACCTTTAAATTCAGTCTTGATTTAGAAGCTGTTTTTCTACAGTACCCAAAAATTACTGTGGAAAAATAGCTTGAAATCCATAGTAAATGTTACAGAATAACTTTTTGTATAAGAAAACACTGATCATTAGCTTGTTGTACGGTTAATTTGCAGAAGAACAACCCAGCAGTGCTCATCGTTGGAAACAACGGAAAGCTTGTCTACGATCATCAGAAGTGAGTTATAGAAAAATCCAGTGTTTCTTAAAACATTTTCTTCATTTATTCCAAAGCTGCCACTGGATTTGGTCATGTTATTCCTTCTCTGCATGCCCACTGCATCCATGTCTGCAGTCTCTCTTCCCAACCATGTCTGCAGTCTGTCTATGATTACAGTGGTGAGACATCACCTTGTTGACGAGTATCAACAAGATAATAATAATCCCTCCAAAAAAACCAAAAAAAAAAAAAAAAAAAAAATTGGTCATTTTCAATCTACGACTGTTTGTGGGACATTGCTGTGCGCAATTGGCTGCCGCGTTCGCCCACAAATATACAGTCAATTCACTTTACAGTGTGTTCTGTGAAGCGCTTTGGGACGTCCTCCCGATGTGAAAAGCGCTATATCAAATGCAAGGATTATTATTATTATTATTATTAAAGCACAAATGGCATTTCTATTTCAACACCCGCTTCCAAATCAAGGGGATAGTGTGTAGTTGATTAGTAACTGATAAAATTGTCTCTTGGATGGGTAAATAGGAATCATAGAAGTATCCAGCACAGCTTTGATGTGCCATAAGCCATCCCAGCTCTTTCACCTCAAGTATCTATTCTCATCCTAATTCGATGACCTGTCTTTCACCTCTCCCACCTCCATTTAAAATTGGTCTATATAGATCGTACAGCATGGAAACGGCCTCCTTGCTAACCTAGCCAACCCTCCACCACCCTTAAAGTCAAACTCTGTTACCTGTATTTTCAACTGCACCAAACTCCACATCGCCATCTCCCCCAGTCCTTGCCAACTCCATTGACTCCCTATTGCAGAAAGGATCAATTTCAAGATCCTGGTGATGGTGCATCTCAGGCATTGGGGTCGTGCCTGAGGGACTTCAGGAACAAGACTTCATTCATCACTTCATTCCCTGGCATCTCCCTACCTCTCTGACCTGCTTACACCCCACTCCCCTACTTACCCCCTTCAGATAACACCTTCCTCTTCAACCATACCGACAGTCACCTCTACCAGCTCGGCTTCAAACTCCGCCACTGTTAAGTGCTCTGAAACTCCCTGCGTGAAGGGAGCTTGTATAAATACAACTTGTGATGGTGGTGGTTGTTTGGCAGGCTTTTTTTCCTGAAGACTATACTCTGGTTCTTTCAAAATGTCTATGCCTAAATAAAAACGATGGCTAAACAATGTCTTTCAGAATACCAAATCTGGCATGTAACAATGCAAGGTAGAGTCAAGTGAAGGTGTAAAACCATGAACCTAATTTATGTTCCGTTTTCGCTGAACGATTCTGTAAACTTAGCCCATTTCTTTTGACCATGTGTTAAGAGCCCTCCACATTAATACATTTACTTCTGCAGTGATGGTGCATCTCAGGCATTGGGGTCATGCCTGAGGGACTTCAGGAACAAGCCTTACCCTGTCAGAGTCAAGATAACCTACTATCAAAAGACATTGACTGTAAGTCTCTTTGAATCTCAATACATTCTAAATCCATCCATTTTGAGATTGATTCTATTGCGTTGAACACAATTCTGTTAGGAGCTATCACAGCTTTTCTTAACTTTTTTTGTTTAAAACTATAATTTTTCAAAAAGTAAAGATGCCATGTGTTGCACAATCACACAAGGGAGGAAGGGAAAAATACTGTTTAAAAAGCAAAGTCTACAGAGTTTTTGAAAAGTTGAAACCAGAGTCAAGCTTCCTTACTCTGCACGCCTCTTTTACCTGGCAGTAAGTAGGAACCTGTGGTTAGTTGTTTGACAGATTGCGTTCCGAGGATAATAATCCTTTCAGAAGAAAAAATAATAATTTGGTCACTCAATCCATGACTGTTTGTGACACACTGTGTGTGCGATTGGTTGCTGTGTTTTGCCCACAAAATATACAGTTAATTCTATTACAGTATTTGCTGTGAAGCGCTTTGAGATATCTCAACAATGTGATAAGATCCTATATCAAATGCAAGGATTATTATTATAATAAGTTAAGTTTGTGCAGCTTAGTGTTCTGTTTGTATTAGATCCTTCTGTAATGCGTCAGCGATTGTTTGCTTTTAAATCTGGAAACTTTATTTACTGTAACGGTTTCAGGGCAGCAGTTACTCTTCTTAAAGAAAAAATATACAGAGACTCCAAACGTTTGGATTTGGAAAGTGTTGGGTTTATTTCTGAGAACCTTGGCTTTAATTGTGCCGTTTGTTTCATACAACATTTGAGCATTTTTTTTAAGCAGCTGGTTGTCCAGATTGTCATGTTGACTTTTGCCACTATGGCATTCCTGCTGTGGCCGATACCAAAGGGGAAGGAACTCTTGTTATCCATGGATCTGTTTTGAGTTCTCTCTTTTACTTGAAAAATCACTTAAAGTGCTGGAAACTTGGGTAGAAAAGCTTCTCTCTCAAGGTCAAATTCTGGTCATTCATGACAGGAAGAAGTGACAAAATTACCCAATCTTATAAGCCTGTGAGATCCCCTCATAAAGCATTTACAATTCTCATTGATATCTGTGCTATTTGGTGTTTTTCCAGATTGGTGTGCAGGGATCTTTCTGAACACAGTAAAGTTGTAGTTCAGACACCTATCATGGAGTCTTTTACATCTCCCAGATAAAATCTTGTCATTCACTTCACAGCTGTTTGTGGGGCATTGCTGTTTACAAATTGGCTGCCCTTTTTGCAAGCAAACAGAACAGTAAAATGTCACAGTAAAATCCCATCGATTGTTTTGAGACATCTCCAACATGACGAGGCACTGTACTAAACACAAGGATTATTATTATATTGTAACCCAGCACACACTTTACAATGTTTTTCTCCACTTTCAGGTTATGATACATAATGGCTTTACTCCAAATAATGACGATTACGAGCTTTGTGCCAAGGTAGAAAACATGATCATTCCTCCTGATGGTTATTTTGGAATCTCGGCCGCGACCGGTGGCCTCGCAGGTTGGTCACGCTGCTGCAGCAAGTCACCCGATGATACATAAAACCCTTTTGTATATGAAGGAATTCATTGTTTTGAAATTATGGGGTGCATAGTTTAGTATCCAATTCACAAACAGACTTGAGTTACTGCACACGATAACTTGACAAGCAATGCTTCATGACACCTCTTTCTGTTTCTTGGCAGATGACCATGATGTCTTGTCTTTCCTGACCTTTAGATTAACCGAACCTGGCAAACAAGTGGTGAGATCTGGTGTCTGTAATGAACTAATATCTTGTCAATTCCTTGTGTTTAACGTGAACTGTTAGCGTAATTGGCATACAATTATAGTAACACTTACACTCTTCAAATCATTTTATGGTTTAGTTGGTTTTGCAATTAAAGTCTCAAAGAAACCATTTTAAATATATATTAATTAACATTAATTGGATTTCCACATCTCTTTATTCCTGCAAAGGAATTATTCCTTTTATATTCCTATATGAATGGCGTTATATAAATGCTATTTGTTATGTAGCGCCTTCACGACATCCTCCTGATGTAAAAGGCGCTATACAAATGTAATTTATTGTTGTATTTTAAAGATTACAAAGAGGTTTTGGTGAAGAAGGCCATTCGGCCCTTTTGATCTTGCCCTTCCAGACTCCCCATCTTCCCATTTACGCATCAAGCTGTTAAATGTGACAGTGTCCTTATCATCATTCTTGTTAACCTGTTCCAGCTGTATAAAAGAAATGTTCCCCAATACCTGTGTTAAGATTAAACTTGACAGCCCTGTACGAAGAGGTAATAGTTTTCAAATCAATTGGTGAGGTTTTATAATGCTACATTTCGCAAGCCAGTAACTAATTTATTATTTGATGATAATTCCTCAAAGAAAACAATAATAATTTGGACACTCATTCCAGGACTGTTTGTGGGACACTGCTGTGCGCAATTGGCTGCCACATTTCGCCCACAAATATACGGTCAATTCACTTTACAGTATATTCTGTGAAGCGCTTTGAGACATCTAGAAGACATGAAAAGCGCCATATCAAATGCAAGGATTATTATTAATGTACTTAGTTTGCATTGTTTGCATCTCACTTTCAAAAATCTTAAAGCAAAAAAATTGTATTTCAACAACTGCTTACATTTATATAATGTCCTTGCACATGGTAGCGTAGTAATTTGATAAACCATAGCTTGATTTGTCCCATTTTTCACTGCACTCATGCTTTAACTTTGAAGGTCACACTACAAATGAATGCTTGTGTGTGGGTTTATTTTATGAATGTATTGCTTTGCTCCCCTTTGAAACCTTTTTGTTCAATTGTAATAAATGTTCGATGTCTGCGTTTCGCCCACACGTATACAGTTAATTCACTTTACAGTCTATTCTGTGAAGTGCTTTTGAGGCGTCTAGAAGACGTGAAAAAGCGCTATATCAATTGCAATGATTATTATTTACTTACAGGAGGAACCTGCAGATTCAGAGATTCCTGATGAAGAAAAAGAGAAATATCGGGAAGAGTATGAAAACTTCCAGCAGGATCTCGATAAAAAGAAAGAGGACTTTCAGAAAGAACACCCTGAGATGCAAGGAGAGCCAGGTTAGGGCAACACTCTTAATAAAAATATATGATTGTATTTGAGGCATTATACCTGTAACTATAAACTGATAGTGTTTGTGGAGGGAATTAAGTTTTTTTTAAGCAAGCAGTGCTTTTTTTTTAGTATTGGTACTTTAAGCTTACTTTGAGGGCACCAATGCTTTAAGAAAAATCATGCAGTTGGGATGGGCAAGGAAGGTCACTTGTCCACTAAAAATAAATATATATATTCATTTGGTCGCTCAATCCACTATGTGACACGACTATGCGCAATTGGCTACCGCAGCTCGTCCACAAAGTATACAGTCAATTGACTTTACAGTAGATTCTGTGAAGCGCTTTGAGACGCATGATAAAGCTCTATATCAAATGCAAGGATTAGTATTATTAAAAGTAAGCGTCTTGAAAGAAAGTGCTTAAAAGCGAGTATTTTCAGGGGACGTTTTTTCTCTGCTTGGACATGAGATTTGTCCAATTCTATGTGGATATTGAACTTGAACTTAAGGAGGCTATAATATTGCCTGCATTTGGTACAGCACTTCACGTTGGGGGACGTCTCAAAGCACTTCACGGGATTTACTGTGAACTGTACTGACCGAATTTGTCTGTGACGCAGCAGCCAATTTGTGCGACACAACAGCTACAAAGTGAATAACAAATTTATCTAAGGGATATAGTTCAACAACATTAACTTGCATTGTACAACGCCCTTCACATGTGATAGCATCTCAGCGAGCTGAAGGCAATTAACATTGTTGCAAAACGTACCATCTTTAAAGTCACCAAGGGTTCTTCATTGAATCTCTGTAACGGGGTCTTTTTTCACCAAGATTCCCTTGCATTTCCGTAGCCGACATGTTCGAAACAGTCAACGAGCGTGAGCTGAGGCAGATCTTTGAGGGTCAAAATCGTGTTCACCTCGAAATCAAGCAGCTGAACCGACAGCTAGACATGATTCTGGATGAGCAAAGGAGATACGTCTCCCTCATGTCGGAGGAGATGAAGAAAGTGCCAAGCGGCCAGCCGCTAATGGGACAGGTGGGCAGTCCTTGATTCAGCCATGTTAACTCCAATGGCTTTATTTTTGCTTAATGCTTTGTAAACATAAAAAACAATAGCTTCCATTTACATAGCACCCTTCATGCACGGTAGGGTCCCGGAGTGCTCGAACAAAGTGTAGAACAAAATCTTATGTTTAAGGACTATGGTTGCCTGCGTTTTGTGTAGGTTACCACAGTTTTATCAGTGAACCTTCCAAGTTTAGCCAAGACACACTTCACAACATCTTGGTTCTTCCTTGACTTTTGAATTGCAATGAACCATCTGCACAGCTTTATGTGAACTGATTGAAATCTTATAGAAGATGCAAACATGGAGGAATATGCCAACGTTATGACGGAATAGGGTTCAGGGTTGTGAGGGGGAAATTTAACATTGGCACAAGGTAATGACTGTATATGCAGCTTTGGTACCTTTCAACAAGGCCTCGGGTGGAGGTGCCAGAGAAAAATTGTTGACCATATGGTGGGGGGGAGAGAAAGAAGATCATCATCTTCAGGAGAGTTGGACAAGGATGAAAGTTAGTGGGCTGAAGGGGCGGGAGATGGGAAAGCCTCAGCATTGTGATTGTTGGCACATTCAGCCTACAGTCACCTTCCCCCGATTCGGCCTCGGGCTCCGCCATTGTTAGCTCTCTGAGACTCCGCTCGGACTAGAGGGCGCTATATACATGCAAATTGTTGTAAGACAATGCAAATATTTATTTGTATTCGGGCAATCTTTTATAGACGCACAAGAAACTTCTTAGCTTTTAGAAATATCTAAACTTTCTCGTTGTGGTTGTATTTATTATCTTGCATCCTATTAATAACCTGCTGGTATTTTTACTACCCTGGTTAAGTTTTTTTTAAATCTAATTTCTCTTTTTAAGGCCCACCAAGGACAATTGGAGAACATAATCCAATACCAGCAGGAGGCGCTTAGGCATATTGGAGAATTGAGGTAAGGGACTGATCAGTTCAAATACTAATGTTTATATATTAGTTAATTAACAAGAAAAGTTAATTATCCTGTTTTAAATTAAATCTGGAATGCACTGCCTGAAAGGGTTGTGTGTGTGTATATATATATATTTAATAACAACATTCAAGGGGGAATTAGATAGGGAGTTGAAAAGGAAAAATTTGCAAGGATATGGGGAAAGAGGGAGGAGTGGGACTGGTTGGGCAGCTCTTCCAAAGAGTAGACACAGGCATGATGAGCCGAATGGCCACCTTCTGTGCTATAATATTCTATGATTCTAAGTGTGCGGGAAGGACTGCTGTTAAATATATATATTTCTCTTACCAAACCAGATTATCTGTTAAATTAAAACATCTCTCTGACCTGATGGGATGGAGTCTTAATGTCAGTCTTTCTTTTCAGGAGGAAGTTATTCTGCTGACCTCAGCAGTAAGTAGAGTGAAGCACCATCTACGTAGATAATTCATGAGCACCTTGGCCTTATCCTGGATTCCGATGACTAGGCTTACTGGCTGGAAGCATTTAGTAACATTATTGGGTTGGGTGTGGAGAAAGAGAGAGAAAATTGGATAGTCTATTGTGACAGCAGTGTAGTGCGGAGTACACTACAATGTTGAAATTGCCTCATTCAGATCAGATGTTTAAGCGGGGTCACATTGTTCTTGTTCAGGTGGAATACTAAAGATTCAAAAACTATTCAAAAGGAGAAAGGAATTTCTCCTGATGTTCTGCCCAACAATCCCTGTCATGAAATTGGTTATTCATTTCATGGTTGGAACATTGCAATGCATGAATTCGCTGCCGCAACGCCTACAAAACAATCAGTTCACTTTACAGTATATTCTGTGAAGCTCTCTGAGATGTCTTCCTGACGTGAAAGGCAAGAGGGATAAAAAGTCTGGGGAGGCAAGGAAAACAACTTGTATTTAATAATAATAATCCTTGCATTTGATATAGCGCTTTTCACATCTTCTCGACGACTCAAAGCGCTTCACAGAATAACAACAACTTGGATATATATAGCGCCTTCCACGTCGGGCGGCGTCTCAGCGCTTTACAGTCATGGATCCCGGGACCGAGCCAGGGGGAGGGGGCGGAAGGTGACCAAAGGCGCAGTCGAAAAGAAAGGTCTTCAGCAGAGATCTGAAAATGTAAGGAAACTTGCCCAAGGTTTTGCCCTGCTTGGAATTGAACCCAGGCGGGGGTCTCGCTTGCAAGGCGAGTGCACTAACCACTGAGCTACAGGACTCCACTGTGATTTATACTGCGCCTTTCACGCAGCAGAGAGTCTTGGAGAGCATATTGGTTAATTCAAACAGTTTGTTTTTCTAGTACTCTCCTTCCTTAGTCTTTCGTTTGAGAAATAGACTTGTGTTGCTATCCAAAAAAAATACTCATAGTAATGTCCTGCAGGTAAATATCACTTACCAAATGCCTTAATTACAAACCTGCAGAGTACATAATGTTCTATTATTATATAGTGGCCATTTTTATAGGTAAACACAGCTGCAAATTGCTCCTCATTCCCTTCACTGAGCCATTGGTGCCCGAGCCTTTAATTACCATGATCTCTCATAGAAGACGTGAAAAGTGCTTTATCAAATGCAATTATTATCCAAAGGCACTGTTGGAAATACAGAAGGGTTTTTTCCCTGGTCTCCTGCCAAGACTCCTCAAGATTAGTTGACCTTTCACCTCGGGTCAGTTTGTGGGACCTTGCAGTTAAAAATTGCTGTATGGCTGTAAATGCTGTCTGGGACAGAAATAAAAAAGTTAAAATGTGCAATAGGCATTTCATAACCTCTATAACTTCAAAGCGTAGTTGAAATCTGGAACCCTCTACCCCAAAACGCTGTGGATGCTGGAGAAATTATTGGGAGAATCAAGAATCCAGAACAGGGGGTGTAATCTTAAAATTAGAAATAGGCCATTTAGGAGTGAAATCAGGAAGCATTTTTTCACACAAAGGCTAGTGGAAATCTGGAATTCTCTCCATCTAAAGGTTGTGGTGGCTGGTCCATTCACATTTTCAAGACTGAGAGGGATAGATTTCTGTTAGGTAAGGATGTCAAGGGATATGGGGCAATGGTGGGCATTTGGAGTTGAGGTACATATCACCATGTAGAATGGCAGAACAGGCTCAAGGGGCTGAATGGCCTACCCTGTTCCTATGCCTTGCACTTTTTTTTCTAATATTGTATTCCAATTCCTACTAGTATCCAGTTAATTTCTGCACAAGCAAATAGGTTGAACCAAGTCAAGTCAATGTACCAACTTAAGTCAATGTACAACTTGTGTGTATCTAATTCTCAAAAGGTGTCACAGATTCTTGTTTTTACAATGGATCAAATGTGATTGAATTACCAGGACAACTGAACAAAGGAGGTCATCCCTGGAAGTTATGGATTAGACACATCAATTTATTGCTTGTCCATTCAACAGGGCCTTTGGATTTAATAATCTTTTCTTTAAGTCCAAGAAAACAAATTAGATTTCCTTCCGATTAGTGCCTTGTCTCATTCTGTCTTTCTTTCCACCACAGTGCCCCCCCCTCCCCCCATGCTGTTCATTAATGTGCATCAGAGCGATGACATGTCCTATCAAAAAATTTACTGGATTAAAGAATGTCTTTGGGTAAAAACATGAGTAACAATTGCAGCCTCGCGTCTTAAGTCTTAAGAGAGCAGCTCCCTTAGCTTTATAGTGGATTTGCTTGTTCAATTTCTTAGAATTATTAATCGCCTCAATCAGAACATCAAAGAATATATAGAACAACAAGTTGTAATTTTTGAGGCAACATGATCTTTTATGATTATTAACTGCTAAGCAGTTATCTCTGTCAGAAGGATTGGGGGGAAAAAATTGTGTCATCATGTCTTAATGCTCCCAAATTAGAACTTTTCATTGTTGGAGAGGTCTGAGTTTAATCACTTATTGCACATTTCCTTTTATGACTCCTTTGGATTCATGAACAACCTAACAATTTAATTCATAGATGTCCTTCCTAATTGTTTTTTTCATTACATTTTGCTAAGATGCTCTGTTCATGTAGATGCCCATTTATTAATCTGCATCATCCTCTTAGAAGAATGCAGAAATTAGGTTTGTTCTTTGGTAAAGCTCCCTCCTTTGGGAATTTTCCCCTCTCACAAAAGATTGTTTTACCCAACTTCTTTGTGCTGTCAGATGAGAATTTAGAGATCAAGGTATTTAATGAAACTGTGCTCTTTGATATTTTTTTAAACAAAGAAACACAAAAACAGCTTGAAGAATACAAAAAATGGGCTGATGGGTTACTTCTGTGTGGCAGGAGGAATGCATTTTAAAAGTTGTGAAAGGGAAGAAGGGTGAAATAAAAAAAAGTCTGTTTATTTAGCTTTTCTGCACCCTATCTCTTGTTTCTTAATAATAATCCTTGCATTTGATATAGTGCCTTATAGCATGGAGACTGTAGCTCAGTGATTAGCGCATTTGCCTCGCAAGCGAGAGGACCTAGATTTCCCAGCAGGGCAAAACAAATAAGTTTCCTTACGCCTGTTTACCTAGCAGTAAGTAGGAATCCGCTTGATAGTTGATTGGCAGATCACTTTTACGGGGGTAATAATTCCTTCAAATTAATAAAAATAATTTGGTCACTCATTACATGACTTTCTGTGGGACACTGCTGTGTGTGATTGGCTGTGGCGTTTCATTTGGCCCAACTGGTCTATGCCGGTGTTTATGCTCCATATGAGCCTCCTCCTGCCCTTCCTCAACTAAGCCTTTCAAGCATAACCTCTATTCCTTTCTCCCTCATGTACCTATCTAGCTTCCCCTTAAATACATCTAAGCTATTTGCCTCAACAACTCCTTGTGGTAGCATGTTCCACATTCCCACTACTCTCCGTGTGAAGAAATTTCTTCTAACTTCCCTATTTGATCTATTTGTGACCATTTTATATTGATGGTCCCTGGTTTTGGTCTCCCCCACAAGTGGAAACATATTCCCGATGTCTATCCCTATCAAAACCCATCATCATTTTAAAGATCTCTCTCAAGTCACCCTTACCTTCCTCTTTTCAAGAGAAGAGAGTCCAAGTATGTTCAGCCTTTCCTGATAGGTATAACTTCTCAGTTCTGGGATCATCCTTGTGAATCTCCTTTGCACCCTCTCCAGTGCCTCTACATCTCTTCTATAATGTGGGGACCTGAACTGCACACAGTATTCTAAGTGTGGTCTAACCAAGGTTCTAGAGACGTTTACCATAACTTCCCTGCTTTTCATTTCTATCCCTCTAGAAATGAACCCCAATGCCTGGTTTGCTTTTTTAATGGCCTTATTAACCTGCGTTGCTACTTTTAGTGAATTGTGTGTGTGTACCCCTATGTCCCGTTGCTCCTCTACCCCATTTAGGTTTGTATTTTCCAGGATGTATGTAACTTCCTTATACCTTCTACCAAAATGTACCACCTCACACTTTTCTACGTTGAAAAACATTTGCCATTTAAATACCCACTCAGCATGTTTATTAATGTCTTGCTGTAATTTGTTGCAGTTCTCCTGTGTATTAACTCCCACAATGTGGTGTCATCTGCAAATTTTGAAATTGTACTGCTGATTTCCAAATCATTGATCTATATTGTGAGCAGTGGTCCCAGTACCGATCCTTGTGCAATACCACTATAGTTCCCTGGGCTTGTTCTATCTCCCTTTTTAAATATAGGTATAGCATTAGCTATCTTCCAGTCACTATTCCCTTTTCTAATGAGCGATATATGTGTAATAGTGCATCTGCTATCTCTTCTCTCGATTCTTTTAATATATGTGGATACAATTCACCTGGACCAGGAGTTTTATCCTCTCTTGAGTTTCGTTAGTTTTTCGATTATATCTCCTCTTTGTATCTTAAATGTATTTATATTATTGTCGATCTCTTCTTCTACTGTCATGTCCACCTGGTCCGTCTCCCTGGTGAGGTATAATCGAAAGGGGAGATATAATCAAAAACTAATGAAACTCAGAGAGGATAAAACCCCTGGTCCAGGTGGATTGCATCCACATATACAGTCAATTTACTTTACAGTATATTCTGTGAAGCACTTTGAAACGTCTCAATGACGTGATAAGGCGCTATATCAAGTGCAAGGATCACTATTATGTCATCGAGACATCTCAAAGCACTTCACATAATATACTGTAAAGTGAATGGACTGTATATCATGGAATCGTACAGCACAAAAAGTGGTCATTCGGCCCATCGAATCTGTTCCGGCTCTTTGAAAAGAGCAACGTAATATCAATCCCACTCCCCAGCCCTTTCCCCATAACACTGCAGACATGTCCTCCTCAAATACCCCTCCAATTTTTAAAAGTTGTTATTGAATCGGCCTCAACCACCCTTTCAGGCAATGCGTTCCAGATTCGAACTCTCTACGTAAAAGAATTTCTTCGCACCTCCCCTCTGCTTCTTTTAGAGACTATTTTAAATCTGTGACCTCGAGTCACCGACACACCCACCAGTGGAAACAGTTTTTCCCTTTCTAACCTATCAAATCCCCTCATGATTTTGAAGACCTCTATTAGGTCTCCTCGTAACCTTCTCTGCTCCAATGAGAATAATCCCGGCCTCTCGAGCCTTTCCTCATAATCAACGTCCCTCATTCCTGGTACCATCCTCGTAAATCTCCTCTGCACCCTTTCCAATGCCTTAACATCCTTCCTATAGTGTGGTGCCCAGAACTGGGTGCAGTATTCTAACTGAAGCCTAACCAGTATTTTATATAGGTTAATCATAACCTCCTGACTCTTGCACCTATTAATAAATTAATAAATTAATAAATTTAATATTAATTAATAAATAAATTAATAAAGCCTAGTATCCCATATGCCCTTTTAACAGCTTTATCTACCTGTCCTGCCACCTTCAAGGATTCATTTACCTGAACCCCCCAGGTCTCTCTGTTCTTTTACCCCCTCAAGATTGTATTACCAGCCTATATTGCCTCCCCTCATTCTTTCTACCAAAATGCATTACCTCGCATTTCTCCACATTAAAATTCATCTGCCATGTGTCTGCCCATTTTATCATTCTGTCTGTCTTCCTGCAGTTGGCCACTGTCCTTCTCACTGTTTACTACCCTATCTAACTTTGTGTTGTCCGCAAACTTGGAAATGGTACTTGCTATACCTAAGTCCAGATCATTTATCTATATTAAGAAGAGCAGTGGTCCTAATACCGATCCCCGGGGGACGCCACTATATACTTCCCTCCAGTCAGAAAAGCAGCCATTCACCACAACTCTCTGCTTTCTGTATCCCAGCCAGTTCTGGATCCGCTGCCACTGTCCCTTTTATACCAGGGGCTTCTATCTTTCTTACAAGTCTTTCATGTGCACTTTGACAAATGCCTTTTGAAAGTCCATATAAACTACATTAACTGCACTAACTTTATCCACCCTCTCTGTTACCTCATCAAAAAATTCTATTAGATTTGTTAGACAAGATTTGCCTTTAACAAATCCGTGCTGACTGTTCCTAATTAATCCATATTCTTCTAAGTGGAGATTTATCCTGTCCCAGATATATTGTGGATGAAATGCGGAAGCCAATTTCACACTGCAGTGTCCTACAAACAGTCATGGATTGAGTTACCAAATTATTATCATTTTTTTAAGGGATTATTACCCCCAGAAAAGCAATCTCCCAATTGACTGACAACTGGGTTCCTACTTACTGAGACGTGTGGAGTAAGGACACTTGCCTAACATTTCGCCCCGCCCGGGATTCGAACCTGGTTCTTCTCCTTGAGAGGCGAGTGCTCTAACCACTACTCTGCAGGACTCCTCTGTTTTAAATATCCCAGGATTCTCAGAACCAAGTGCTTAAGACTTTATGCATCAAAATAGCTTTCTGTTCACTGAAAAGCATAGCAATAAAGTGTTTTGAGCCAGACTGTGCACACTGGTATAATTTCCATATTATTGTATCCCTGCCTTGTATGATGCCCCACTATAAATTTTGGCACTGTAGATCGAAGTTACAGAAAGCGAGTGTTGCAATATATTCTCCGATTGCTATTATGGTTACTCATTGAGAATCACTGGATAAAGTGCAGAGATCCACAGAGTGCATAATGTGCTCTCCTGTTATTGACCATTGCTGCTATAATTTGAACAGTCATATAGATGTCACTGAGGGGCAAACATTTAAACCTTCTCAATCAGAAACAATTTTATAACCTCCAAGGCACCGCAGTTTGCAAGTATTTGTCAGTGTACCAAGAGCTGAAAATTGAGTATATAGTATCTTATAAATCTACTCAATAAGCCTAAAAGTGTGCCAGATGTTTTACTGTTGAACAAAAATGGCTGGATTTCTGAAACCTTGCTTAGCAGCAAATAACCTCACAGCAATAAGCTTCCACAAACCAATTTGCTAGGCAGGCTCGTGCGGCTTCACCTATTGAAGGATTGAACTAGCTGTAATGCTCCGCATGTTCAATAGTTAGTCTTTATTTTCCTCGTCACCACCATCACTATCTGCAAATTGTGACTGCACTTTTATACCTAGCAGTAAGTAGGAACCCTATTGTTAGTCGATTGGTGGATTGCTTTTTGGGGGTAATAATCCCCTCAAAAAAAATTTTTTGTAAATAATTTAATTGTTCAATCCACCACTACCAATTCACTTTACAGTATATTCTGTAAAGTGCTTTGAGATGTCTCAACGACGTTATAGGATTTACTGTGAAATGCAATGACGCGGCAACTAATTTGCGTACACCAATGGCCCACAAACAGCCCATTTTTACGATTTTTGGGGGAATAGTGTCATGAGATCTTTAACATCCACCTGAACAGGCAGACCATACTATGCAGCTCTAATATGAACCACATTCACTATACCTTCATTTCCATCTGCGATCACTGTTTATTGCCAGGTGAAATTCTTCTCTCATTGCCCTAGTATTTATTTAGCCAAATCAGAAGAGAGCTAAGAGGACCCAATTTGAATCAAGTGCATGGTTTCAGACAGATTAACTGAGAAATGGTTCAAAGATCAAATCCATCATCGTATATTAATGCTAACAGACAATGGATTAAAGACCAAATGAAGCAAAAATGCTGTTATCTTCTATTTTAATTACTTTTCAGAATTGCGAATAGGCAGCGCACATTCACACAAAAAACACCCTGCATTTGTCAATTTTTACTAAAGTGAATGCAGTTGACATTTTCTAATGCAAATAATAAATTTGAAATGTACTCTTTCTTTAAATCGTCTTTGGCTGTATTGTGCGTTGCATTAAGCTTTTCTCAAAGTAATTTCTCTCCTCCCATTTTACAATCTGTATATCTCATTTTTATTCTTTATATAGTGCCGACCTCCTGGAACTTTGCTCAGCTACCAATCTCCTGCCAAGGTGATCTGAGCCTGCCTGAGTCAGAATCCAGCTCCTCAAAAGCAATAGCAACAACAACTTGCATTTACGTAGAGCCTCTCACACAGGGTAGTTTCCCAGAGCGCTTAACAGTGACGGAGCACGATGCTGAGCCAGGAGGAGGGGGAGATGTCCATAAGCAGGATTGAGATCACCGTTTAAGCCAAGTTCCAGCACAGTATACACAGGATTTACTGTTTGCAAGGCCTTTTGCAAATACCAAATTTAACTAATTTTAAAAACTTACACTTAATACAGCACCTTTCACATTGGGAGGACATCTCAAAATGCTTTACAGGTTTTACACTAAGGTCCAGTTAATTTTTGATGTAGGTGTACGAGGCAGCCACTTTGCACATCATGTCCCACAAACAGCCATGAAGTAAATGACCTTTTTTTAAAAAAAAATATATTATCTGGAGATTGTTGACCAGGACCATGGAAGAAACTCTCTTCGCTTTTCTTCGCTTTTCTGTAGCTCAGTGGTTAGAGCACTCGCTTTGCAAGTGAGAGACCTGAGTTCAATTCCAGGCAGAGGGCGAAACCTTGGGCAAGTTTCCTTACTCCACACAAAAGAGCCTAATAATAATCCCTCCAAAAACAATAATAAATTGGTCATTTTCAATCTATGACTGTTTGTGGGACATTGCTGTGCGCAATTGGCTGCCGCGTTCGCCCACAAATAATAATAATAATAATAATCCTTGCATTTGAGATAGCGCTTTTCACGTCGGGAGGACGTCCCAAAGCGCTTCACAGAACACACTGTAAAGTGAATTGACTGTATATTTGTGGGCGAACGCGGCAGCCAATTGCGCACAGCAATGTCCCACAAATACAGTCAATTCACTTTACAGTGTGTTCTGTGAAGCGTTTTGGGACGTCCTCCCAACGTGAAAAGCGCTATATCAAATGCAAGGATTATTATTATAAATAGCAGCATAGGATCTTTTAACATCCATTGAATAAGCAAACGAGACCTTGATTTAAAGTCTAATCCAAAGGACGGCATCTCCAACAATGTAACACACCTTAGCATTGCACTGGAGTTCAAAGTCCTGACATGGGGGCAGGAGCCTACAACTTTGACTGAGGCGAGAGTGCCACCAACTGAACCGGGCTAATGAAATGTGTGACTTGGGTACATCAAATGCAGGGGTTATTTATACAGTAATTTTTTCATTTGAAAAAAAAACTGAATTAAACTACATTTCTCAAAGTCCATTTTACTCACAAATCTAAATCATCTTTATTCCAGGAGTTCTATCACCAACGCTGTGCATCATGCAATTCAAGTGTCAGGCGGTGCAACAGGAGGTTATGAAAATGTTCAACATTTCAATGATATAAAGGAACATCTTCATGTAGTAAAAAGAGAACTTGGAACTTTAGTACAAAGAAATGTGGTGAGTCTGACCTGATGAATTGAGTGCTTAACATTGTTAACTCGTTAAGTTCAAAATCACAAAACATTTGGATTGAATACCGGATTGTAACTTGATGTTTTTGAAGCTGTAAAAGTTACAAAATAATTGCATCCTAACCTAACCTTAGTTATGGACTCGAATTTGCAAGAGAAATCTTACTGTGTTAGGCAACATGCAAGGGTTTAATAGCGGAGTAATGAGGAATTCAGAGGATGTAATAGACTTCAGGTCAATCTAATGAGTCTGCAGGTGCTAGATATAGGTCTGTCACCTCCCTTATATATTGGAGTCTAAGGAGGAATTTCCCAATTTCAACTAGATGTGTGAAGGAGCCTTCCTGTATAAGATCAAATCTCTACCAACCACAGTGTAGGTAGATGTTTGATCATTGTTGGGTGAGAGTTTCTATTGCAGGATATATATTGGTTTATTTTATTCCAGATTTATTCAGTGTGTAAGGAAAGGTATGTAAAAAAAGAAAGGCCTTCGCTAATTTGGGAGAGAGTGAGATAAGTAAATAAGTACACTCAGGCAAGTAAATTGTTTTTCGATCTGTATCCTGTAAATTTAATGATGTTTCTATATGTAGACTTTCGGATGTTGTGAGAGGTAATATTTTTAACAACTTGCATTTATATAGCATCTTGGAATGCTGCAAGGAATATTATCTGTTTTAAGTCTGGGCATTTGGATTATTCTTTATAATATGCCATTAGATTGTTTTTCTGAGTGGAGGATCCACAGGACACAGATTTAAGATAATTGGCAAAAGAACCAGAGCGGAGATGAGGAGAATTATTTTTCCCAGCGAGTTGTTACCACCGGGAATGCACTGCCTGAAAGGGTGGTGGAAGCAGATTCAATAATAACTTCCAAAAGCGAATTGGATATATGCTTGGAAAAAATAAAAAATTGCAAGGCTATATATCGGAAACGGTTGGGGTATTGAGACTAATTGGATAGCTCTTTCAAAGGCACAGGCACGATGGGCCTCCTTCAGTACTGTAGGATTCTGTGAGTTTCTGTATGAGTTGTACTGTCAGCACTGTTGACTTCTAGAAGATTTGCAGCTGAAATTTACACAGAATATTGCTTCTTGTTTTACTGGGGATTGGTAGTATTCGTGTGTGTAGCATTGTCGTGTTCATTCTAGTCACAGTGGTGAAGTCTAAACTAATGCATTTTTACTGTCTTTCCCACAGGCATACGTGGAAAAACCTAAATGTCCCGAAATACCCCCTTTCCCGTCTTGTTTATCAACGACTCATTTCTTCATATTTGTAGCATTTCAAACAGTATTGTTTATTGGGTATATCATGTATAGGTAAGTATGCCTGGTTATACCAATTGAAACTGGTTTACTGCACTTGGTGGCACTTCTGTGAATGTGAATTGCAAATGATGTGCTTTCAAATCCTGCTAAAATATTCACCCTTCAAAGGTGACTTTTTGCATGGTACTGTGAGCTGTTTTGCCCATCACATTGCGACTGTTGGCATGAGTCCCTGCCCTCACCCCTCACTACCACCATCCCCACAATAAAAAACTTGCATTTATATAGCACGTTTCACGCGGGGTAGCATCCAGAGCGCTTGGCAGTGGCGGAATCTGACCCCAAGCCAGAGGGAGAGGAATGGAGGAGGTGACCGTAAGCACGATCAAAAAGGAAGGTCTTTAGGCGAGATTTGAAAGTGGGGAGGGAGGGGGCAAGGCGGAGTGTTTGAGGGAGAGACACCACCACACCATCAACCTCACACTAATCACAGCTTCTGCCCTGTGTTACTGAGAAAACATGCAGCCACTTTAAATTATGCTATGCAAATTGCAAGACAACCCGTGTCCTTGACACCCAGTGAGTGTAGACTCCATATGTTCTCTCCCTTCTGATTTGTTTCAACAAAGTTCATTAAACCTGGAAGTCAATCCGATCCCTTTGAAGAAGATGTTGTCCTTGTGATGTACAAGATCAGCTTAGCATAAATATTGCTACTGAAGCCACAATTTAACAATTATTCTTAGCCTTGTGTGTATAGCTGCTTCCTGCACCTTCCCTTGTTCCCTTGTGCGTAGTCTCTGCCAAATCTGCATTAATACCTTTGTGTGTTTTTTCCTCGTTGATTTATGCAAAGAATTTAAAAACTGGAGGAAAGTGCTTCTGATCAAAAGAAGAAATCGTGCCTTTTATTTTTTCTTCCGTATAAACCGAATTTTACAAAATACACTTTCTTCTCCCCCAATCTCTATTAAATGTACAGTAATGATTTAGCAGTTAACTTATGCCTTGAAGGAATTCTAATTTTGATTAGCTCAAATAGGTTTTAATTGAAAGCAATACTCAATCAGCCAAAGTAAAGTGGTGGATATTTTTATATATATATATATATAATATATTAAGGATTGGAGTGAATCAATCAACTGATCATCCTTTTGCGGTTGATGTAAAAGTACAGTATAAAAAGGTCCCACCTGAGTGTCCCTGGGGGGGTTGAATTAGCTCAGATTACATGCAATTCTCCCTGCAGTTAAAGATGCTTCCTCCCTCACCTTGTTCAAGGTCCATCTCAAGACCAACCTCCTTGATTGCATTTTCAATCATCTTTCCCATTCCACCACCCCCCCGCCCTTCCCCGGCTTTAATCTCCAACTCAATCTGAAAAGCGCTGTATGTGGAAGGGTTCTGAAACTCGATGCCAAAGTAGAATACTTCAACAACAACTTGCATTTATATAGTGCCTTTCACGTCAGGAGAACTAAGGTTTAATGAACTTTGTTGAAACAAATCAGAGGATCGATCCCCGCATTGTTTTGGGACCTGTGCCATGCAGCATGTGGAGTCCTGTAGCTCAGTAGTTGGAGCACTCGCTTCGCAAGCGAGAGATCCCAATTTGTTCCCTGTCAGGGCGAAATGTTGGACAAGTTTACTTACTCCACATGTCTCTGTTTACCTAGGAGTAAATAGGAATCTGGTTGTTAGTGAATTAGCGGATCGACTATGCACAGATAGCAGATCGAAAAAAAATTTGGTCACTTAAATCCACGACTGTTTGTGGGACACTGCTGTGTGCAATTGGCTGCTGTGTTTTGTACACAAAATATACAGCCAGTTCACTCTCTAGTAGATTCTTTGAAGCGCTTTGAGACGTCTAGAAGATGTGAAAAGGCGCTATATCAAATGCAAGGATTATTAGAACATTTCAACAGTAACTTGCATTTATACAGCGCCTTTCATATTGGGAGGACTCCCTAAGGCATTTGTTCCTTAAGCCATCCTGCATGGGATCGATCCCCACATTGTTTTGGGGCCGCTGCCATGCAGTATGCTTCAAGAAAATGATGTATTCAATTGCAGTCGTCATTATTTGAATTGCTAATTTTTTTCTTTTCTTTTTTTCAACCCCTCACACAGAAGTCAGCAAGAAGCAGCGGCAAAGAAGTTCTTTTGATGTCGCTACTCTCAGTTTACATTTTGTTAGCGACCCGGAATAAAACCACGGAAAACCTGTAAATGATGGCATTTTTTTTAAAGAAAAAAATATTTTTCAACAAATTAAGTTATTGTGATGCTGTTTCCTCCCGAGATGAGAATATTGGAAATATTTTTTGGGGGTGCAAATTATCTTTCTACAACTTGAGGGCAAGACCTGTGGGCATTTTTTTTTGCTACTGCATCTTGTATCGTGTACCCTTACAGGAAGCTACAGGAAAATTAAATGATTAACTTGACATTTACATGATGCAAAGAAAATTTGAGTTTTATTAGGAGCAAGCAATTGCAAAGCTGTTCTCCATTTAACATTGAGGATGTTTCTCAAATTACAAAGTTCACCACAAGTAATGCCTCCTTTCTATTTTCTCAAAAAAATTGTTAACTTACAAAACTTAATACAGCCCGAAAAGGTTTTTTTTAAATAAACTAGTGCAGTTATTGTTCCACAAAGATCTACAGCCACATACTTGGGTCAATGTGAACCCAGTGCCAGTATTTTGTTACGGTAAAATGATGTACAGTGATGTTTCCTTGTGAAACACGGTTAATATTCGTAGAACCCACTGATCACAAACATTTAGGTAACAAAGGTTACCAATAATCTCTATGGCATGATGATCAATACCGAGGCTCTCACTCAACTCACTCTTGAGTGATGAATCGATCTTTACGACTGAATTTCAATCGTCGAAATCCCTTCAGCTGTGAGAAATTCAATTACTGCCCTCTGCTTAACACGCGTATCAATGCTCGGTGTCATTTTGAACTGCTGCCACATGCCTCCATCTAGGTAGAAGTAAACAAAACTTTCACAGGACACGATATCCAAGGACACTATATTGTGTATGTTTTTCATTACTGTATCGCTTACAAATTAAATAGGAGGCATTACTTTTGGGATGTCCCTCGTCTATTGAAGCACTGGATGTGAACACCATTTTGCTTCATCAGAAAACTATTCTATCACTGCCTTGCTACTGTATTTTATTTTTGAAAGTGCATTACAGTATTATGAGTACCTATTTTTACGATTTTAATTTTTAGAATTTTTTTGCTTTCTCTTCCCCTCCCCTTTGTTTTCTGAATTTTGACTCGTGAAATGTTCCTGCTGTAATTACTCAATCCGGATCTTTTCGACCATTGTTATTAAAAGCTTATTTCGTGAAAAAATCATTTTAAATAAAAACAATGGGGGCAAAACATTTATCTTTATCGGGCGTCCTAATTTATGACTTATTTTGTTGAAATAAATTTGTATTTATACATTTAATTTTTTAATAATCCTTGTATTTGACAAAGCATCTTATCTCTTCAATGTCTCAAAGCGCTTTACGGGATTTATTATAAAATGTAGTGACTGTATTTGTTGACTAATGTGGCAGACAATTTGGACATGGCAATATCCATAAACAGCCATGGCGTGAATGACTAGTTTTATCTGGTTGATTGTTAGCCAGAACATTGGGATAAACTCCCTTCTCTTTTCGACTAGTGGCATGGTATCATTAACATCCATATGAATAGAATTCTGGGTCTGTTTTAACATCTCATCTGATGGATGGCACCTACTATTTCATTCTTAATAATAATCCAATATAGCGCCGTATAGAATCACAGAATCTTACAGTACAAATGGAGGCCAATCGGCCTATTGTGCCTATGCCAGCTCTTCGAAAGCTACCATCTATTCCCCACTCCCCCGCTCTTCCCCACAGCTCTGCAATTTTTTTCCTTTTTAAGCAGCTATCCAATTCCCTTTTGAAAGCTATTATCTACTCTGCTTCCACCACCCTTTCAGGCAGACCATAACTCTGGGTAAAAAGACATTATCAAGTAACAACTTCACCGAGTGCTTCAGTATATTGCAAAGTGTAGTAACTGGTTGTAGGCGAACCCAGCAAACCGCAATACATATTGCAATGTTCCAGAAACGTGCATTTTGTGAGTCACTTAACGCTGTAACTAAAATATATTTTTAAAAGAGGATCGCTGCTTTTCTAATCTAATTCGGCCCCGTATCTCTTAATACCTTGACCTAACAATTGAGCTATCCACCTCAACAACATTTGTATAGTGCCTCTCACGTCGGGAGGAGGTCACAAGACGCTGGACAATCAATGTTTTGGACCCGAGCTGGGGGTCTGGGTCAGGATCGGGGAGGGTGGAGGGCAGGGGAGCAAGGACGGTGACCAATGGCACAGTCGAAGGGGGTCTTGAAGGAGGGGATGAGGAGCTGCGGGATGGAGTTCCAGAGGGTGGGCGTAGAGTGGCAGAAAACCCACCTGCCAATGATGGGGTGGGCGAGGTGGGGTCATGAAGCAGGCCGGGAGCGGGCAGATTGGTAGGAGGTTAGGAGGTTGCAGAGGTAGACCTCAGTCTTGAAAATGTGAATGGATCCAACATCCACAACCGTTTTGGGGGAGGGTGTTCCAGATTACCATTACCTTTTCGGTGAAAAACTGCCTCCTAATTTCACTCATAAATGGCCTAGCTCTAATTTCAAGATTATGCCCCCATATTCGGTAAGAAGATAATTAAGATCAGACCAATTGATCAGACTGACAGGACCTCGGATTAATGCCTAGTGCAAAGTCCGGCATCTCCAGCAAAATAAAGCGCGAGGCTGATTTGCGGCAATGCTGAAATCTCACAAGATTTGACTTCTATGAAAAAAATGTTACAAACTGTTCAGGTTTAACTGAATTGTAGTGAATGCTTCAAAATCCAGTTCAATTGTTTCTCCGTTTTAGTGTCAGTTTGATTAAAATCCTTCCCCGTTCTCTTGGGTCGAGAGGATATATAGAAACATAGAAAGCTACAAGCTGTCCTCTTCCCACCACCCCTCATTTTGCCTCATCGCTCCATCCATGTTACTGAAGATGTTTCCTCGTACATGACGATGGATCATTATCTGCCATGAAAATGATGGCGATCACACACTCTGGACGTCCAAATACAGTTAAGTACTTGTACTGAATACAATTAAGTGTTTCTAAATAGAATTATCATTCTTCCAAATGATGCAGCTGTTGGTCAGTGCACTGTAGAAACAACACATGGTGGATAACAGGACTTTTTGAACACCCTGTACAGCGCAGAAGGAGGACATTCTGCCCATCAAGTCCACTCCAGCTCAAGGAGAAAGGAAATACATTCCACCAACCCAATTATCCTGCTTTCAAACCCCTCTAATATGAAAAGGTACAAAAACATGAATAAATGTGATTTTAGCCCAAATATCCCAATCGAATCGGAAAAACTATGAAATAATGCAAACAGGTTCTTAAATCTGATCTTAAAACAAAAATGTATAAGTTCATGATGAGATTTCATCCACTCTTGACCCCTAACCTTGAAGCAAATCTAACTCCCTTGTCTCCATTAAAAAAAATGTATATCTTGCTATCTTTAAATGGTTTTGCACACCAACACGTTTACACAGTATTTTAGCTGTTTTGGAAAGTAATTTTAATCGCCTCGCATTTCAAATCGCCTTTTGGTCAGTAAAGTCCTTTGGTTTTACACACTGTTGTTGCTTAAGTCTTGCGATCAGGGAAATAGAACATGCCGAGAGCTGAGGAGAGGAAAATGATTTGTGATGAGGTCAACTCCTTCGTGGACGGAGCTTACAGCTCCTCTAGGGAACATAACATAACATGTAGGAGCAGGAGGAGGCCATTCGGCCCTTCGAGCCTGCCCCGCCATTCAATCATGGCTGATCTTCTAATCTAACTCCAGCTAATACCATAACCCTGCTTTATCTCCATATCCCTTAATCCCTTTTGCAATAAGAAACATATCTATCTCAGTCTTGAATATGTTCAAGGACTGAGCGTCAACAGCCCTTTGGGGTAGTGAGTTCCATACTTTCACAACCCTTTGAGTGAAGAAGTTCTTCCTCAACTCAGTGCGAAAAGGCTGGCCTCTGATTTTAAGGTTGTGACCCCTGGTTTTAGTTTCTCCGACCAGGGGAAACAATCTCCCACTATCTACTCTATCATGCCCTTTGATGATCTTATAGGTTTCTATAAGATCCCCACTAATTCTAAATGTGGGTCAGTGCATAACAACTGGACCAAATGTATTTGGAAAAGATGACTCGTCTGCGCTTAAAGTCTATGGGGAAAACAGCTGCTCCTGTCTTAAAAATGTGTTTAAAAATGATTCAAATGTCCCCACACTCCCTCTATCAGCTACATGTTACAGAGTATGAATTCAGCCCATGCATAGAACCTTGGTTTAACTGAGTGCCATCTATTTGGCTGATCGTGGCTCTCGTTAAATGTTATGACCCAATACCACAAAACATGAGGTCCTTGCAGGGGTATGTTGTTTTCAACAACAACAAATTTCATTTATATAATGCCTCATGTAGGAAGGACGTCCCACGGAGTTGGCTCATGGCGTTGGTATCAGCTGATTTGAATGGAGAAACTCCTCCCATGTAACTTAACTTTTAAGTATAACTATTCCACATAAATTTCTCCCACAAAATACAGTCAATCAATCCACTTTACAATATGTTCCGTGAAGCGCTTTGAGACATCTCAACAACGTGATAAAGCGCTATATCAAATGCAAGGATTACTATTATAACAGTATTAAATTTTATCACGAAATCTCATGGATCATATATCAATGCAGATTGATCCATTCATTGGAATTTAAGTGCGCATAACACACACACAACCTCAAATATTGTTGTATCCCTTTAATCCCAGAAAGGCAAAGGAAATTGACTTAAGTGCAGTTAGACAAAGTTGGGACTGATTTTTGGTCTTGGCTCAAAGCGATATTTTGAGTGAAGATCCCATCCACCTCATTAACCCGAGAATAGTCCATGTGGTCGATCACTTTCTGTGTTTTAAACTCTAAAGTCAGAAGGTTGTGGGTTCACAACCCAAGTCGAAACATGGAATTTGTAGACCTCTGGCTGATACTCCAATGCATTGCTGGAGGTGATGTCACTTGGATAAAACATTAAACCAAGGTCCTTTTTGGCTGTTCAGGTGAATGTTGGCACTATTTGAAAGAGTGTGCTTGTGTGCTGGCCATCAATCCTCCTAAATAGAGCTTCTTTGACCACTTTGATACTGAAATAGAACTTGGATGATGAAGAAAGCTGTATAGGCTGAACATGTTCATTTCATATTCCCATTTCCTTGATGCGTTGTTTACTTACTTCAGTCCTTCTGATAGACATTAAACTAAAGTCCCGTTTGCCTGTTCAGGTGAATGCTGAAGATCCTATGGTGCTGTTCAAAAAGAGAAGGGAGATTCTCCTGATGTCATGGCCAACAATCTCCGCAGATAAAATTAATTATTCAAGAACTTTAATTAGGACTGTTTCATGTTCCTGATATCTCAAGCTTTTTTATTCGGAAATGAATGGACACTAACCCATGGAGGTTTGAGAACGCTTTTCATTCTACGTGAGGGCATTCGTATAAAAGCGAGTTGTTGTAAAGTGCAACAAAATACCCCTACAATCCTGAGAATCCTGAAATTATCTACGATTACTTAATTACACCCAATAACATTTTACTTTCCTTTACAGGATATTTTCTATATTTTTATATAATAATAAAAAATGTAATACTCCGAGTCTTACTTGATCCAAGGATTAAATCTTTTGATGCAAATTAATGATCCTTTATGCAAAAAAAAGCTACTGTGCCTTATGAGCCTACTGTTAGTTCAGGAGCTGATTGCTTGTTACAGCTACTCTGATTTCAGTTATAAACTTGCCTTTGCACTTGACCTCATATGAATAATAATAATAATAATAATCCTTGCATTTAATTTATGCCTTTAACCAGCAGCTTTTAAACCCATATGTCTCCTCCCATCACTCTTATATCCTTATGAGCAACAAAAAGTTATGTGTTTTTCCAAACCCACTGCCTCTTATCATTAATAGCCAATTGAGTCCTGTAGAGTGTTGGTTAGCCCACTCGCCTCGCAAGCAAAAATACCCGGGTTTGATTCCCGGGCGGGTCGAAACCTTAGGCAAATTTTCTTACTCCACACACCTTTACCTATCGGTAAGTAGGAATCCGCTAGTCAGTCAATTGTCAGATCACTTTTCTGGGAGTAATAATCCCACCTAAAAAAATTGGTCATTCAATTCACGACTGTTTCTGGGACACTGCTGTGATGTCCTGCCACATTTTTGTCCACAAAATATACAGTCAATCCACTTTACAATATATTCTGTGAAGTGCTTTGCGACGTCTCAATTACATGATAAAGTGCTGTATCTAATGCAAGTATTATTATTATATATTATTATTGAGCCTGCTTTCTGATATAATGCAAGTGGAGTTAACGGAACCAGATTTTGACAAGTTACAGACACTGTGAATGCATCAAACAAAAATTGTAAAAAAGTTAAAACGGTTTTAATAAATGAGTTGAGTGATTGAGGAATTATTAACTCAGCATCATGTTATAACTGAGAATATCTGACCAAAATGTCATCTGCAGTGGTGTCTATGGTATGTTTTATGGGAAGGGAGTTAGTGAAATGATATTGATGGCTTTGAGAAAGTGCACAGACGGCAGAGAATAGTGCAGAGGATAGAGTGCAGTGGAACCAATGAAATGTATGGCTTTTTAATTACAACGGCTCTCGAAAGCAGATTGCTTATCCGGCTTTGATAATCATCTGAACACAACCATATCATCCGACAATGTTATACTATATATACAGTATAATATATACATTGTATATGTCATACACACACACACACATTTCCCTGAAATGCACGAGGCTTTTCAGGAACAGCCGCCAAAATCGCACTGAATGAAAACAAGACCCTTAATTCGATTCTGTGTGTGTGCACTGTGTGTGTGTGTGTGTGTGTGCAGGAGTAAGGGGAGAAAGAAGAGGTTTCTCATCTGAGGAAAAAGATACGTTTGCATTTCAGAAATGATGGCAAAGGAATTAGCTTGAAGTATTGATATTAAAAATAGTCAGTGAAGAATAGTGTATTACAATCTGATCTGAACCATCTGGCTCTGGAAGATTGATGAGTTGAGTGCTTTAATCCAGATTACCAAACACAAACCATTTCTGTTTGCACTGAATCTCTCTCTATCTCTCTCTCTCTGTCTCTGTATCTCTCTGTCTCTGTCTTTTAAGTGCCAGTTAGACATCTCACCAAACCCTTCACTCAGTTTTCTTTTACATGTTTATTTCTATTTGCGTTTTTGTTTTTCTGTTCGAGGTTTTTTTCGCTCTCTCTTTCATTTTTTTGGAAGGGAGCGGAGGAGGGGGAGAGGGAAAAGGGAAAAAAATGTCTTTTTTGTTGAAATCGATGGTGAGCGGACAGGTGAAGAACCTAGGACTGGGAGGAGGAGATGAAGAGAAGAAGGATGAAGGAAATGCTTCTGACCCAGCAGCGGCAGCTGGGATGACCAGAGAGGAGTACGAGGAATATCAAAAGCAGATTGTGGAGGAGAAGTAAGTGGGATGGAGATAAAACACGCTTACAAAAATAAACCAGCGATATATTTTTTAACCTATTTTTACCCAGAGAGTTGTTACAGCCTGGAACGCACTGCCTAAAAGGGTGGTGGAAGCAGATTCAATTGTAGTTTTCAAAAGAGAATTGGATAGGTACTTGAAAAGTAAATATTTGCATGCTATGGGCTATGAGTGGGGAGTGGGACTAGTTGGATAGCTCGTTCAAAGAGCTGGCACAGGCACGATGGGCCGAATGGTCTCCTTCTGCGCTAAAGGATTCTATGATTCTATATCATAAATAACAAAGTTGTAGATGTGCAGGGAAAACAAGATTACAATTTGGTGCACATGAATAATAATAATCTTTGCATTTGATATAGCGCCTTATCATATCGTCGAGACGTCTCAAAGTTGCTTCAGAGAATATACTGTAAAGTGAATCGATTGTATGGTTTGCGGGCAAAACGCCAGCAGCCAATTGCGTACAGCAGTGACATTCATTCGTGGATTGAAAGCAAACTTTTCAATGTAAACTGTTGCTGCCCTTTTGGGCACTGCAGGCCAGAGCCGTGGTCAATTACGAATAAATAATCTCTGCATTTCACATGGTGCAATATCGCGTCGTCTCAAAGTGCTTCACGGGATTTTACTGTGAAAGTGCAGCGACTGTGCATTTTGTGGGTTTACGTGGTAGCTAAATTGTGCACAGCAATGTCCCACTGTGTGAGTGACCAATTTTATTTGGGGGATTGTTGGCCAGGACACCAAAAGAAACTTCCCCTCTCTTTCCGAATAGTGTCATGGGGTCTTTAACGTCCACCTGAACAAGCAAACAGGGCCTTAGTTTAATATCTCATCCACAGGGTTACACCTCAAACAATGCAGAACACCCCCAGCACTGCATTGGAGCATCAGCCTAGACTGTGGAGCTCATTGCCAAAATTATACTTTGCTTAGAATAATATCCTCCAAGATGGTTAAATCAATTAATTATTTAATTTGGATTATTTTAACCCGGGTTATTTAAACTGCTAATCTCCACATGGGTTAAGTGACTTCCAATTCCTCTTTCAGATACAGTTTCTTAACGAAAAAAACAACAAAATTGCAAAAAGAAAAGCTATTAAATAAATCGACATTGAAGTTCTCTTTTATTGTTATTGTCATTATCCAGTGTCGATCCTTTTAATAGGAAAAACACACAATGGATATAAATCAAGCATTGCTTAGGAATTGATTATTTACAAAAAGACTTGTGCCAAAAACTTCATGTTAACAAAATCTATAATTTCAGCATCATTAACATATAATAATACTTGCATTTGATATATCGCCTTATCAGGTCGGTGAGACATCTCAAAGTGCTTCACAGAATATATGATAAAGTGAACTGACTATATTTGGTGGGCAAAGCATCTATTTAAGTGCAGAAGAGTCAATCAAGGACACATCTGATGATGTTATGCTGCTTTTTACCAAATAAAACGATTCTTTGGGAAGTTTTTTTTAGCGAATATGTAGTCCTCGATGAAAAGATCTCATGTGAGGATTATAAATTGAAGAGTATTAGATGCAGGTTATTAGAATTGAGTAACTCCCACCCCTTCCCTCCCCTCCATGCACTGTATGTTTGTTTGAATTCTCAGATCAAACATCACTTTGAAACGAAGAGCAAGCTTTATGAAATTACCAAACTTAATCCTTGCTCATAACACTTAACCTTTAAAGAGGTTTAATATCTGCATCTGTCTGTAGTCCAGTTCACATCCATTTTGCCCACAAAATACACAGTCAACCACTTTGTTGTGTATCCTGTGAAGCGTTTTGAGACGTCTCAATCACGTGACAATGCACTATATCAAATGCAAGGATTATTATCATATTATTAGTCTATATTCACCACACATCACCTCAATCTTTCTGCCTTTACTGCAGGGAGCAGCCTATATGACTACTTTTCTGAGCTTCATTTTAACATGTACCTTACGTTAACATTTTATCAGATTGTGTGTGTGTTTGTGTGCGGGGGGGGGGGGGGGGGGTCAGGAGGTGGCTTAAAAGTGGCCATTACATTTAATTTATGAAAGTTGGGGAGCAGTTAGAGTGAATTTACACATAGCAACAACAAATTACATTTACAAACCAAAGATAGGCAAAAGTTAGTTACGCATCTTACCAAATTAATATCCTGTCCATCAGATAGATCATCTGTGCTCGTACAGAGTGGTTCCAATGGAGTGACATTGATTTCTGTTACAGTAGAGTGGTTTTGACTGGACAGGGCAGAGATACTGCCCTGTTTACTGACAGCTATTGATTTGGAAATAAATAAAATAATCCTTGCCTTTGGTATAGCCTCTTATCGTGTCGTCTGGTCATTTCAAGAGCTTCACACGATATCACTGTAATGTGTAGTGACTGTGATTTTGCAGTAGCCAGATTGCACACAGCAATACAACTCAGTACAAAAATCACATTTGTAAAGCACCTTTCACGTCGGGAGGACGTCCCAAGGTGCTGAACAGTCAGGGTCATTAGGGTGTCCCATGAACAGCCATGAAGTCAGTGACCAATTTTATTTTGGAAACTGTTGGCCCTTCTCCCTTCTCTTTTCAAACAGTACCACAGGATCTTTAACATACGCCTGAACAGGCAGACGGAACCTCTGTTTAATGTCTCATCCAAAGGACAGGACTTCCAATAATGTAGCACATTACACATAGCCAGAAATTCTGGCTCACTGTACTACAATAATAATAATCCTTGGACGTGATATAGCACCTCATCACGTCTTTGAGACGTTTCAAAGTGCTTCACAAATATACTGTAAAGTGTAGCGACTATATATTTTGTGAGCGAAATCCGGCAGCCAATCGCACTCAGCAGAGTCCCACAAACAGTTGTGGATTGAATGACCAAATTGTCATTACGTGGGGGGCGGGAAGGAGATCTGGTCTGACCAGTGTTTAAGCATACATCAAAAATCTTGCACAAGACCAGAATCATGTGGCCTGAAAAACTCCATAGTGTAAGTCTTAGACCCGTTACCTTTAAAACTTAAGTTTGCGCAGAATTTCAGAAAATTCTTAAATGCAGTCTCGATGTATAAGCCAGTTTCTGCAGTTCAGTTCTTAGAACAACTGGTGGGGAAAATAAAACAGTTTTCTAATTCAGACTGAATTTAAGAATTTCACAAGTTTCTGCACCAACTTCAATGTTAAGCCAGTGTTCCTCAGGTTAAGATCAGCCACATTCCCACTTTGTGCTGCACATGTCTAAGCTGTCACCCTTTAGGCCTAAACAGTTACAGTACAGAAGAAGGATCTGGGACCACGGTTGAAATAGAGTTCACATCAGCATTTAAGAGGGAATTATATAATTATCTGAGAGATATAAAAGGAGACTGGAACTAGATGGAGAGCTCATTCCGAGAGACAGCATCAGGCATGTTGGACACCTCTGTGCTGTAAGTTTATACTATGGTACTAAGAGGTCCGCGGAAGGAGTCTGGTCCGCTATATGCTGCTTTAGGAAGATCCTTTGGAGAAAATAAAAATCAATCCACGACTGTTTGTGCGCAATTGGCTGCCGCGTTTTTCCCACCATATATACAGTCAATTCACTTTACAGTATATTCTGTGAAACGCTTTGAGACGTCTCAATTGCGTGATAAGCCGCTATATCAAACGCAAGGATTATTATTATTATAATTATGGTTTGAATGTGTTAACCTGGTGCAGTTGGTTGATCTCTCACCAGGAGATCAATCAACAATCAGGATGCTTGAAGTTCAAGGCTTACTTTGGGACTGTGAGTTCCTAGTCTTTATTGACACTGTTTTGCAGTGCTGAGGGGGTGCTGCATTGCTGGTTTTTTAGATTAGATGGCAACCTAGCATCCATCCCACCTGCATGTTAAAGATCCCATGGCACAACTCAAAAAGAGAAGGGATTTTATCCCGGTGTCCTCGGCCAACAAATCCCCAAACACAATTTTTGTGCAACATTGATGTTTCACCCCCAAAATATACAGTCAATCCACTTTCCAGTGTATTCTGTAAAGCATTTCAAGACGTCTCAACGATGTGATAAGGTGCTATATCAAATGCAAAGAAGATTGTTATTATTATATCAAAAACAAGCATTATTATTATGTTATCTCTTTAAGACTAGGTGGAGCCATTTAAAGGTCCATTGGGTTCCTTGGCTGTTCTGCCTGATCTGAGACAGCATCCGTCCCCAGCTTAGTGTTTTTGCCCTGATTTGCATTCAGCAAATTTCCATGCTCTTAGGTAAATTGATTTTACACGGGGGAGGAGGAGGGGGGGAGTGGGAGGGGAAGCAAGACCAAAAATGCAATTTTAATTCGAAGGACAGAACAAAAATATAACAACTAACAAAGCACGACAATTCTGAACCTTTACATGACTGTTTATCACTATTGTCTAATCGCTGTCAGATCAAAGTAGTCATCAGACTCCAATCAGCCAAGTCAATGGTTCATGTGTTCTGTGTTTTTATGGGTTTTCCCATGACCGTACTTAATGCTGCTAAACTTAGATTCTTTATGCGAGTGTCTAATCCTGATACTTTACCAATGATGAAAAATCAAAGTCTGTTACTGTGGAGAAGCTTATACTGTCTGTCTGTCTCCCTCTTTAAGCCTTACTCTTAAGACTTACCTCTTTGTCCACACTTTTGGTTTTATCTTTCCCTTCCACCACCCTGTTCAGCTGCCTGGTTTCCGCCCCCTCCCCCCAAACCCTGGGCTTGGGTGCTCTGCCAGCTGCATAATAATAATAATATTAATAATAATCCTTTTTTTTGATTTAGCATTTTATCACAACGTTGAGACGTCTCAAACGATATAATGTAAAATGAATTGACTACTTTGGCGACAAAACACAGCAGCCAGTTTGCGCACAGCAATGTCCCACAAACCACCATGGAGTGAATTTTATTTGGGGAATTGTTAGCCAGGACACTGGGAGAGAGAAACTCCCTTCTCTTTTCGAATAGTACCATGCGATCTTTAACGTCCACTTGAACATACAAACGGGACATCAGTTTAACATCTAATCTGAAGGACAGCACTTCTGACAACACAGTCCCCCCCCCAGTGCTGCACTGAAGTTTCAGCTTTCTACAAAATGCAGTCATTACACACATTACACACACACACTTTACACACCCTTTGAAAAGTGAAGGGAGTTTCGTCTGGTGTCCTGGCCAACGATCTCCCTAATAAATATTGGTCATTAGTTTCATGGCTGTTTATTCACCGATGTCAAATGCACGATATCAAATGTAAGGATTATTATTAATAATATTACTGAAATGCTGGTTTCTGCCTTCCTTTTGGCTATTAGCCGACATGATTTACATACGGTTGGAAATATGTTCTCTGAGTCCATGACCTTCTGTATTAATCATCCCACATTATCTGATGGTATTGCAATGGATTCTTCTACTGTATTCATTTATTTTGAATATATTGGGTTATGATATCAAGCTCATTCAGAACAATCTCTTTAGTACTGCATTCATTCTGACGTGGGATTTCTGATCTTTTCTCAAAATCCTGTCTGACCTAGGATATTTTTCAAATGTAATTTGCACCCACAAATCTAAGCTTCAAGTTTCATATACTTGTTAATCTGGGCTGATGCTCCCGTGAAGTACTGGGGTAGAGCTCAATTGTCAGAAGTGTTGTTCTTTGGAAGAGACATTGAATGTCTGTCTGCTCATGTAGATGTCAAAGATCCCATGACCCTATTTGTGTGCAAATTGGCTGTCTACAAATACATAAACGCTACACTTACAGGAAAAATCCTGTGAAGCACTTTGAGATATCCCAACAATATTAATAATCCATGGATTTGCATTTGATATAGCGCCTTATCGCATCTTAGAGACATTCCAAAACGCTGCACACAATATAATGTAAAGTGAATTGACTGTATATTTTTGTGAGTGAAATACAAGGATATCAAATGCAAGGATAATTATTATGAATAATAATAATAATAAATATTACCAATAAGGCTTACCTTTCTTTGTCCCTTTTCAACTGGAGTCAATAGCTAATTGTGGCTGCTCTCCACCTTCAAGTATGGCTAGCTTTCTTGTTCATCATTGTTAAACATGCCGTTATATATATGGCGCCAGGAATTGTTCAAGAGTTGAAAGATGTCTGGGAGAAATGGAATCTTTCGTTATTCACCTAATCAATTTCTCTTTCTGTTCTTGAAAATCCCTCCATTGACTCTTTTGAAAGTAATAAGATACTTGACACTTGCCTTGCATTTAACATGGTGCCTTTCACATCAGGAGAAAGTCTCAAAGTATTTCACACGATTTATTGTAGTGTAGTTGAATGTGTATGTTGTAAGTGGAAGATAATTCAGATCACTGCAATACTCTTCTTTGCTCAATAATCTATTGAAACTATCTTTTTCTCCTTCTTTGAATCCCTTAAGATGTATTTTTGTGTGAGCTGTGATGTCTTTGAAGATACTGTCTTTGAAGTTAACTGATTTAAATTCCTCCACTTGTCTTGAAGTGAATAACCAATTTTGCCTGAGTGATGGCTGACCAAGGCAATGGAAGAAACTCCCTTCTTTACTTGAATGGTGGCATGGGTTCTTGAACTTGAACAAGTAGACAGGACCTCGGATTAATGTCTCATCTGCAGGACAGCACTTCTGTTAATACACTGCTTCCCCCAGTGTCAGCCTGGCTGTGGATTCCGAGACTTGACTTGGGGCTTGAACCCACAACCTTGTGACTCAGAGGCAAGAGTGTTACTAACTGAGCCGGGCTGACACCTACTTTTTATTAAGGGCAGTTAATAGTCCAGTTTTAATTGTCTGGTGCCCTCATAAATTTGGTATTTTTGTTGTCCTCTGTTCTAAATGCAACAAACTATAGATAGTAAGATGCTCTTATAACTGAGGTGCCCACAAGGTAAGATTCTATTGTGGATATAATTCATCTTTTGAAACATTAGTAATCTTTCCTATGATGCCCATAACATCAAAAGTCTCAAAGTGCTTCAAAAGGAATTGCTGTCAAAGGCATCTAACTCTGGAAAATTCTTCCTCTATCCCTCCACCTTGCCTCCTCCTTCCCTACCTTCATGGCGCACCTGAAGACCTTCCTCCTCAATCGTGCCTACGGTCACCTCCCTCCCCCCAACTCAGTGTCGTGCTCTGCCACTGTCAAGTGTTCTGAGGCGCGACCCTGCATGAGGAGCGCTATATAAATGCAAGTTGTTGTTGTAGTAGTGACTGAGTATTTGTACACACCCTCAAAGTCAATTTTGTGCACAGCAAGATCCCACAAACAGCCAAGAAATTACCTAGAATCCAGCACGGAAACAGATATTCAGCCAAACTCATCCATGCCAGTGTTAATACTCCACATGAGCTTCCAACCCTCAATATGTCTATTCTATTCCCTTCTCCCTCATTTCTGCTTCAACCAACAACAACAACAACAATTTGGATTTATATAGCGCCCTCCACACCAGACGTCATCTCAGAACGCTTCACAATAACGGATCCCGGGGCCGAGCCAGGGGGAGGGGGAAGAAGGTGATCAAAGTCGTGGTCGAAACGCAGCTTCCAGCAGTGAGTTCCACATTCTCACCATCCTCTGCATGAAGACTTTCCTCCTAAACTCCCTATTGGATCTACTAATTAATATTTATGCCCTCAGATCACTCTTCTGCTTAATGTCTTAGACAGGATGATCACTGATCAATTTATCTAGGTGGGGAGGATCACAACACTGAGACAAACTCCCTTCTCTGGTAAAAATTAAACACAGAGAAAAAGTGAGACCGACATAGAAGTTCTTATTGAGGAGCCTTTTCTTCAGTTGAAATGTTAAATTGAGATCCTTCCCGTCTGCCTGTTCAGGTGGGCGCTAAAGATCCCATGGCACTATTCAAAGGAGAAGGGAGTTTCTCCCGCTGTCTTGGCCAACAATTCCCCAAATAAAATTGGTCACTCACTTTGTGGCTAATTGTGAGACATTGCTGGGCAAAAAGATTGACTGCCTTGTTTGCCCACAAACCACACAGTCACTGCAGTTAACAGCCTATCCTGTGGAGCAGTTTGGGACCTCCTCCCTATGTGAAAGGCGCAATAACAAATGCAAGGAATCTTATTAATGTTATTATTACTATTATTGAATGAAACTGAATGATTCTTCCCAACTGCAGAATGGAACGGGATGGGATGTTTGCACAGAAGAAAGCAGAGAGAGCAACTCTTAGAGTGCATTTAAGGGAAAAGTACAGACTTCCAAAGGTAAGCATATTCAGTATTATATTTTTTCATCAAATTTGTTTATCCTGCAGGCTATTAGCCTTAGGTAAGTTTCCTTACTCTACACTTATTCCTTACTTTTTACCTAGCAGTAAGTAGGAAGCCGGTTGTTAGTCAATTGATGGATCGCTTTCCGGGACTAATAATCCCTCCCTCAAAAAATAATGACAATAATTTGGTCATTCAATCCATGACTGTTTGTGGGACGCTGCTGTGCACAATTGGCAGCCGTATTTTGCCCTCAAAATATACAGTCAATTAATTTTACAGTATATTCCGTGAAGCACTTTGAGACGTCTCAATGACGTGATAGGGCACTATATCCAATGCAAGAATTATTATTATTATTATCTTCTATCTGATATGGATATAGTTCTGCAGGAGATAGTAGCTCAAGCTAGTGTCTGTCTTAAGTATTTAGAAATCTTGTCATCCTCCTGATGATGTAATAAGTGGTGGGCCCCCAGGCAAATATTGCCCTCATGACAACAACAACAACAACAGCAACAACTTGCAGAGCAATTCCCATGTGTAGGTGGGATGCCCTGGAGTCATCTGAACTCCTACACCTCTGGCCCTCACTGACCAATCTCTCCTCCTCACTCTCCTTTCTTCACAACTCCCTCTCCTCCATTCTGAACTCCGTTGCCCCCCTCACCTCCCAAACTGCCTCATACTTCCATAAATCCCCTTGGTACACCAGCCATCTCCGATCCCTCAAAGCACAAGTGCGAGCTGCCGAATGCGCCTGGACCAATTCAAAACTAACGGTCCATCGGCAGATTTGGCTTCACCACACCAAGATCTACTGCTGCGGTCTTGTCTCTGCCAAATCCTCCTTCTACTTCAAGGTTATCTTGGAGGCAAGGAACAACCCCCGGCTTCTCTTTTCCACCACTAACCATTTCCTCCATCCACCTGCCCATACCTCGCTCATCCTCTCTTCAAACTCCAACTGTGAGGAGATGCTGGACTACCTCGAATCTACAATCGAGGGGATGCGTTCAGCCACCTCAGCCCTGTCCACAGCCTCTCCTCTTTAATATCTACATGCTCTCCCTTGGTGACATCATCCGCAGACATGGGGTCAACTGCCGCATGTATGCGGAATACATCTTCCCTGGATCCATCTATCTTTCTGCCTCCACCCTCAACTCCAGGACCACTGCTGTCCTGACAGACTGCCTGTCGGACATCAAGTCCTGGATGGGAGCAAATTTCCTACAGCTGAATGTGAACAAGACTGAGGCCCTCCTGATTGGCTCACACCTGCACCTTTGCTCCTCAGGCTCTGGCAGCATCAACCTCCATGGTTGCACACTTCAACTCACCGCCAGTCAGGAACCTCGGTGTCTTGATCGGCTCTCTTTTCTCCCCCACATTCAAGCCATGACCCACTCTGCCTTCCCTCACTCCGTAACATCGCCAACTCCGCCACTGCCTCACCCCTCAGGCCACTGAAACTCTTGTTCATGCTTTCATCACCTCCAGGCTCGACTATACAAATGCCCTGCTTGTCGGCCTTACCAACTCCTCCCTCCACAGGCTGCAGATAATCCAGAACTCTGCAGCCCGTGTCCTCTCCCGCACCAAACTCCGTGACCCCCATCTTCCCCACTCTCGCCCGACTCCAGTGGTTCCCTATCTTTCAGAGGATCCAGTTCAAGATCCAGGTCCTCACATACAAAGCCCTCCATGGCCTCCCCCCACCCTGCGACCTCCATATCCCCTACCAACCTACCCGTTCCCTCCATTCAGCTGGCTCTGGCCTGCTCCATGACCCCCGCCCCACCATTGCCAGGAGAGCCTTCAGCCACTCTGCCCCCAATCTCTGGAATTCCATCCCCCAGTCACTCCGCCTCGCCCCCTCCTTAACCTCCTTCAAGTCCCGACTCAAGACCCTCCCTTTCGACCATGCCATTGGCCACCCACCTTCCTCTCCCTTCCCTTCTCCTCCTCCCTGTCCCCAGGTCGGGTCTGAAATGCTGTACCCTGTCCAGCGCCTTGAGACATCCTTCCGACATGAAAGGCTCTCTACAAACGTAATCATGTTGTTGTTGTTGTTGTTGTTTATAGCACCCCCCATGCAAGGTAGAATCCCAGAGCACTTGAATAGCAGAATCTGACCCTGACCCATTGCAACGTAGGGGATATTGCACCAGCAAAACAACATTGGATAATCTTCTTCTAAATGTGATAGAAAGTCACCTCAGAAGTAATTATATGACGCTCAGTCAGATCTGTAACTCAAATGCTCCCTTCCATCTAATTTCTTAAGTGCTCTTAACACGTAACACATTATAAATGTATAATCTAGATACACAAGGTTGGTCAGTACTCTCTTAACTAGATTAACACCAAATGACTCTCTGACATTCAAACACCAAGTATATCTGGCAGACTAAACCAAAATTATAATTATTCAGAAAAAGCAACATACATGGGTCTATTAAGCGGCAAACCATCTGCAAACTAGTATGTATTAAGCACTGGAACACCAAACTTGACCGTGTGTGGGGCCAGGAGGTGAAGCCATTAGAATGGACATAGTGAATACACTAGGACAGGTAAGAGGTAAATAATAATAATAATCCTTGCATTTGATATCACGTCTTTAAGACGTCTCAAAGCGCTTCACAGAATATACTGTAAAGTGAATTGACTGTATATTTTGAGGGCAAAACACAGCAGCTAATTGCGCACAGCTGTGTCCCACAAACAGTCGTGGATTGAGTGGCCAAATTATTTTTTAAATTTATTTTGTAGGAATTATTACCCCAGGAAAAGCAATCCGCCAATTGACTAACAACCGGGTTCCTATTTACTGCTAGGTAAACAGAGGTGTGTGGAGTAAGGAAACTTGCCCAACTTTTCGCCCTGCCCAGGAATTGAACCTAGGTCCTCTCGCTTGCGAGGCGACTTCTCTAACCATTGAGCAACAGGATTCCTGTCTGTCCGTTATGTATATGTCCGGTACCTCACGATGATAATAATAATAATCCTTGCATTTGATATAGCACTTTTCAAGTCTTCTAGACACCTCAAAGCGCTTCTAAGAATATGCTGTAAAGTGAATTGACCATATATTTGTGGGCGAAATGCGGCAGCCAATTGCGCACAGCAGTGTCCCACAAACAGTCGTGGATTGAAAATGACCAATTTATTGTTGTTTTGTTTTGGCGGGATTATTATTAGGCGTGTGGAGTAAGGAAACTTGTTGAAGGTCTCACCCTGCCTGGAATTGAACCCAGGTGTCTCACTTGCAAGGCGAGTGCTCTAACCACTGAGCTACAGGACTCCATGATTTGCACCTAATGATAATGGCACGTGTCTGTTTCTTTGGTTAGAGCGAACAGGACGAGAACCAGATCCAGATGGCGGGGGATGACGTTGACCTGCCAGAGGAGCTGAGGAAGATGGTGAATGAAGATCAGGAAGAAGAAGAAGACAAGGAATCCTTCATTGGACAGATCCAAAACCTTCCCAACATGGATGTGGACCAAATCAAGGAAAAAGCACATGCAACACTCAGTGAAATAAAACAAGCGGCTGAGCAGAAATGCTCCTTAATGTGATGTAAACCAATGTTACTTGCAGGCATTTTCATGAACTTTCAGTCCTGATGTTACCCTTAAGAATCCACTCTATTCATGTATCACACACAGCACATCTTTCGCCAAATGGGCGCTCTTGATATTTTAACATCATTGACATGCATCCATAGCCAGACACATGTGTTTTTCTGCAAAGCACCACACAGTTTCTTGCTTTACATGGCATATATGTATTAATGGATATAAATAAATTTGTTTATATCAAAATATAAATAATATTTTTTATATACCAAGTCACTCAATCCAGGACTAATTATGGGACACTGCTGTGTGCAATTGGCTGCCGCATTTCGCGCACAAAATAAAGTCAATTCACTTTACAATATAAGTGCTTTGAGATGTTTCAACGATATGATAAGGCTCTATATTAAATGCAAGGATTATCATTATTATAGGAATGCACAGATGTGCAGGGAGGAGGCTAGATATCTGGGAAGCTGGGTATGGGGACAAGGCAGAGAAATTGGAATTAAATGATCTGCTTTTATTCTAATAAAATAATAGAACAAGGTTGATGGGTGGAGTGCCCTTCCTTTTAAAAGCGATTCAACACATTATAATTATGCATATACTTGCTTTCTAATATATGGGGACATGATGCAATGGGTTAAATCACTGTCTTTTTTGTAACCTGGATTCCAATATATGGGAAATCTGCCATGTATTAAGGTGAAGGGCTCACAGAGCTTGGTGCGGGAGAAATCTTGTTGTTGTTTTGTCTGTCAACTTTGGCTCAGTGGGTAGCGCACTTGCTGCTGAGTCAGAAGGGTGTGGGGTCAAACCCCACTTTCAGGACCTGGTGCCATCTTTTGGATGAGACGTCAAACCGAGGTCCCGTCTGCCTGTTCAGGTGAACGTTAAAGATCCCACGGCGCTATTTGAAAAGAGAAGGGAGTTTCTCCCGAGGTCCTGGCCACAATCCACCCTAATAGAATTGGTCGCCCACTTCACAGCTGTTTGTGAGACATTGTTGCGGCAAATTGTCTGCTGCATTTGCATATAAAACACACAACACTACACTTTATGGTACATCCTGTGAGGTGCTTTGAGACATCCTTCTGGCATGAAAGGGATCATTGAAGGAATTAATATTATTGTTGTTGTTGGAAGGATCATGTAAGCCATCTTTCCTCTTCAGCTGGATCTCCTGAGCTCAATTCAGTCAGCCATCTGGGTTGGGGCTGTGCATCCTAATGCTGCAGCCACTGATGTACATAATCTGTAAAAGCCTCTAAAACCTAATCTTTTAACATCAATTCAGTCAATGTTCAAAAGACATTCATTTCTCCTCTTCTTACCAATGTCCTCACATGTCTTTGGCTATCGCAAGCACCCCATAGTGCAGATTTCAGGCCTTACACTAGTGGTGGGCAGCCTTTATGGTCGACCAACAAAATAATTGTTCTTGATTGAATATTTTTTGATATTTCTAATGCCTTAAATCGCGAAATATTCAATCAAGAAAAAACTGAAAATGCACAACTGATCAAACACGGACTCACCTAGACTTGTGCGAGTGTTTGGGCAGGTAGCTTCTTGATGGCCCCATGGACCACTTCTGGCCCATGGGCAATAGTTTGGCCACCACTACCTTAATCAATGGAAATATTCCATCCTGAACATATACCTGGGTGATACAGATAATATATATTTTGCCCACAAGATAATTACAATTAATTCACTTTACAGTATAATCTGTGAAGCGCTTTGTGACGTCTCGAAGACGTGATAAGGCGCTATATCTAATGCAAGGATTATTATTATTTCATATAGAACTATTTTGCATCCTTGAGCTGTCTCAGAACGCTTCATAGGAGATCAATGACCAGCATGAACAGGAAGAGATCTAGAGGACAGATACTACTATCCCAGTTAAATTACTGACCACAGTCAGAGCATCTATTTATCTTTACTTTCTGGTTCTTATCACCAAGGAGATCTTCAAATCAAACTTCTTTAAAAGTCTCACATATCGAACTTCATCAAATGCCTCCCAATAATCCAAGTCAATTAATTGTGTTGAATGAACAGTCCTATGGTAGACAAAACACAAAATACTGCAGATGCTGGAGATCTGAAACAAAAACAGAAGTCGCTGGGAACACTCAGCAGGTCAGGCAGCATCTATGGAGAAAGGAAAATGAGTCAACGTTTCGGGTCCACTACCCTTCGTCAGAACTGGGGCATGTTGGGAGGAAGAAGCTTTTTAGGGCTAAAAGTCCTATTGTAGAATTGCGTTACCTCAAGCAATTACATTTGATTCACAAAACAGGACGTGTTGCATTTTTTTGCTCTATTTACTTTTTTCCTACAAACACATTTCAGAGGATCCAGAATTTGACAAATTCTTAAATACAGCCTTAATTCTGAAGCCAGCTTTCTTTGAGTTTATTGTAAGAACTACAAAAAAATCGAGTTCAAAGTTGGGACTGAATTGAACAATTTGTCAAATGCTCTGAAATGCTACATAGTGTAAATCTACAACTGGATGGAACTTTAATAACAATAATAATACTTGCATTTGATATAGTGCCTTATCATACTGTTGAGACATGATACTGTCAAGGGAATTGACTGTATATTTTGTGGGTGTATTTCCCCCACTAATCAGTAAAGAAAAACATTGCATTTTTCACTTATAGCCACAACATTTATATAGCGTCCTTCACACGTAGTAGAGTCCTAGAGCGCTTATGTATGATAACTTCTAAAATCACATTGGCTTGGCTCCCTGGATGACTTGTTTGGCAAGCAAACCATGTGCTGTGCTCCTGAGTCATGCTTAAACTCTGGGAAGCCTCAGGCTCAATCCCTCGTCTGTGCGGAGATAACTGATGAACAAACAGCTCCCTCTATCTTAGGAGAGTGAAAATTAGTCAGAGTTCCATTCCCTCTCCAGCAGCCTCTGGAGCTTACGCTGGGCATTTTAAAAAATAATAATAATCCTTGCATTTAATATTGCACCTTTCACGTCAGGAGGATGTCCCAAAGCACTTCACAGAATATACTACAGAGTGGAGTTACTGTGTTTTGTAGGTGCATGCAGCAAATATGTGCGCCACAAACAGCCATGAAGTGAACGACCAACAATACCCCAAATAAATAAAAATGCTCATGCACTTGGCTGTTTGAGGGATATTGCTGTGGGCAAATTGGCTGCCGTATTTGCCTACAAACATTCTTCTGACGTGGAAGGCATTATACCAAATGTAAGGATTATTATTTTTAATCAGAATATTGTTAGCAGGGGACTGGGAGAATCTTCTTTCTCTTCTTGAATAGTGCCTTTGCATCTTTAATATCGATCTGAACAAGCAGACAGACAGGACCTTAGTCTAACACAGTGATGGTCAACCCATGGTCAAACCCAATTTTTTCTTGATTGAACATTTCTTGATTTATGACACAAAAATCAAGAAATATTCAATCAAGAAAAGTTATTTTGTTGGCCGACCATAAAGCTTGACCAACATTGGTCTAACATTTAATCTGAAGTACAGCACCTCCAACAATGCCATGTACTGCACTGAAGTGTCAGCGACTATTGAGTTCAAAGTACCAACATGAGGCTTGAACCCACAACCTTCTACTCAGATGTAAGACTACCAACTGAGCCAGGCTGACACAAGGTAAGGACAGAATTCTACCACGCATAAAAGCTTCCGAAGTCTTTGGCTTGACATGAGGTTTGGCTGCTTGGGAGAGGTACCAAGGGTCCATACCCACAAAATATACAGTCAATTCACTTTACAGTATATTCTGTGAAGCGCTTTGAGACATCGCAAAGACGTGATAGGCCCTACACCAAATGCAAGGAATATTATTATTACCCTAGCAGGAAGTTGTTGCGCTCAGGACAGGAAATGCAATAAGAGAAAGCCTAATCAGATCAGCTGCAGCAAAATAGAGACAAATTAAGAGAAACAGATAAAACTAATTTTAGATGCAAGCCAATAATCCTTGAGGAATCCTTTTAAAGTGCCATTGCTTTACGTAGCCTCACATGTGCAGGAGGTAAAGTGGCATGGAATTAAATTACAGCAGATCATCTGATCAAGACAAAATGCCTGTCACTCACTCTTAAGCAATTTGCAGTTAATTAGTTTAATTGGAAAACAAGTAAAGAAGGGCAGCATTAATACACTGTACCTTTACTTGATGAAATGAACAAACCTCATGCCGCTGGGAAGGCAGATGGTTTTATTGCCTCTCTCTAAGGGGATGGACATCCAATCCTGTTAAATTGGATGTTATATTATAATTATTATTATAATAATGATTACTATAATGATCTCTCACCAAATTAGAGCTTCCTGATACTTTTTAAACTTGAATGAAACACTTTGAAAACAGACACACTGTAATGTAAATTCCACTGTAAAAAACAATTGGTCATTATTACTTTCCAGCAGAAACAATGGCGAAAAACAGGTGAACAATATTTCCCTAAGTAGACGGATGTAAAAAACATAATCAGTTAATGTACAGAGTGTCCACAAAGTCCTGTTATCCCTTTTTTTTTACACAGTGCACTGACCAACAACTGAAACATGCGGAAGAATGATAATAAATGATGTATTTAGAAGTATTTCATTATATTCAGTAGAGGATCGGTGTGTGAGTGCCATCACTTTCATGACAGATAATGATCCGTCACCATGTTTGGTGCAATATCTTGCGTAACATGGATAATAATAATAATAATCTTTGCATTTGATATAATAATAACAATCCTTGCATTTGATATAGCAGCTTATCACGTCTCAAAGCGCTTCACAGAATAAATTGTAAAGTTAATTGACTGAATATTTTGTGGGCGAAATATGGCAGCCAATTGCACACAGCAGCGTCCACAAATAATCGTGGATTGAGTGACCAAAATTTTTTTTAAGTGATTATTACCCCTGGAAAAACAATCCGCCAATCAAGTAATAACTGGGTTCCTACTTACTACTAGGTAA